GGGATGCATGCACAAAGACCAGGTCTGCTCAGTTTGGTGTTTGGAAGGAAAATCCTGCTCACTCATGGGTCATCAGCGCATGCAGCTGAGTAAATAAAGATGTGCGCGTGAGACAGCAGGGGACTGTGAAGAGCAGTTTTGCCCGTGTGTCGGGAAGACGTTTATGGTTGGGAACCTAGTGACCAAGAAGCGGGGCCGCCTTAAGATGAGAGAAGCCAGGGGAGGAGGTCATCGGGAGGCAGGGCCCCACCAGGCCCAGGGCAGTGAATTGAGCAGCTGAGCCATCCAACTGTGCGTGGGCCTTGGAAGTTCTAAACAAGAATCTTATTGATGATTTGTCAGACCCAGAGCAGACAACTCTGAACTTTAACAGAGCCGGGATGGAAAGCCCATACAAGGGCCTACAGTTTCCAGAATGAACAACACGCTTATTTTCCCCTCCCGCCACTGGAGGACGAGGAAGGGACTGAAACGAGAAGCGTGGGGGAGAAGGGAAATGTGATGAGTGAGGTCCAGGGCCTCAATGGAGTCGCTGCATTCCACCGAGGGGTGGTGCACAGCCCCTCTGAGCCCCAGGGTTGGAAAATGTCACTGGGCTTGGTGCAGATCGGGGGCTGGGCTCTGTGCATTATTATTTACCAGCACTGTAACTGCCCCCTGAAAGGGTGTGTCTGACGAGGAGCCACTAAGGGGCTCCAGGTTACTGGCACCTTAGTAGATTCCCAAACCTACAAAGCCTGATCCTTGACCCAGAAGGGCTTATGTCTAGCCCCAGCATAGACGGAACATATAGTGAGATAACTGGGAGCGACTGGCCTTCCCAGAAAGAGACGTACATGGCAGAGCTGCAGGGGAGCAGAGTGCAGGGCTTCTAGGTGGCTTCCTGGAGAGGGAGCTGGTGTGGACGTGGGTGGACCTTAAAGAAGAGTGAGGTGGACCCAAAGAGGAGGACAGTAACTCACTGCAGTCCCCAGCCCTGTGGTCCTTCAACCGTGGTACTTACCATTTACCTAAGCAGCTGTTCTAGAAAGAAAACAAGGACTTGACATTGTCCTCCGCTGGGAGTACCAAGTATGAGTCTCCTGTTAATTCTCAAAGGCAGGGACCTCGGCTGCCAAGGTCACCACAGCATCCCATGCCTCTGCGTCTGATTGTGTTCTGCAGCTCTCAGCTCTTGGGACATCTTCCTTTAAGTCTTCCTCTAACTGACTGGTGGCCAGCTCCCCCCAGCTCTCCCTGGCATGGATCTGTCTAACCCTGCTCTCCGCGCCTGCCCCATATCCTTCCTTGTAGAGTATGGGGGAGCAGGAAGCAGAGGTCCTGACTCAGACCAGCCTCCCCCACTCTGTGGGAGTGACTGCGGGTTGCAGACAGTGAGGCTTTAGGACTTGGACAGAGCTGTGCCAGAGCCCCAGCACCACTGCTCACTGGGGGTGAGCCGAGCTGGGTTCTACTCCAGCCTCATTAGCCTATTCCTGTGTCTGCACCCTTACAGGGGGTACAGAACTAGAGCTGGGGGAGTACAGCTGATGGCATGGTGCATCTTAGGGCACGCCCGAATGGCTCTCATCTGCACCAATGCAGCCGTCCAGCTGGCCTCCCTGCCCATCCGGCCTCGCCTGTCTCAGGCTTGCTTGATGAAGTTTCTGTAGCCGTCCCTGCCATATTGCTGCAGGATCTGCAAGCAGAGCAGATACACCCCACACCATCTGCCCCACCCCAGGCCGTACTTCTGGTTTCAAGGCCTGCCTCCTGCCCTCTAAGGCTCACTTCCCCCTGTCCCTGTGTTCCATGTGTCCCTATGCACGGAACTGGTCACAATTCTTCAGTATGAGGCATGCACTTAGTGTTGGAATCTCCTGAGAATGTCACCCCTTTTTTCCTAAGATGCCTCTGCTGCTGCTGCTTGGTGAGTTCCTATGCAATCCTAAATGAGCAGCTCATAAATTCTTCTCCCCGATAGCCCCAGCGTGGGCCTCTCATGTGCGTTCCTGTTCCTTGGAGACACGCCAAGTTAATCTTGTTCCCACCTGTGTGCTTGTGCACGCTGGGTGCCCCTCCATAGATTTGGGGCCCCCTGAAGAAGTAAGGACCCATCTGACTTTTGTCATCCTTTGCACATATTCCAACATTTGGCTTAGTCCAATTTGCTCACATAGAACATAAACAAAGGCTGTTTTCCAGGAATCGAGCAGCTTTTGGGAAAAGCTAAGGACGTGGAGGGGAAGAGACACTTGGAGTTTTTCTGCTTTTTCCTCTCTGAAGTAGCTGCAAAGGCACAGCCTTGAGAAGTTCAGAAGGTCGGGAAATGTGGCCAGGACCCCAGTTCCCTCGCTTTTCCTTGTCCGCTAGATCTGAGTCAGGGCCACTTTCCTCATATTCTTACTTTGTTTTCCCTGGGTTGACTGCTTTAAACTTGCTGCTGAAGCCTGCTGAATTTGTGCAACCAACAGGAAACTCATGAATAGCTGTTGAAAGCAAAACCAGACCCAACTAAAGGCCTTTCGGCTCGGGGGCCTCGCTTTAATTATTCTTTTAAATCCTTCCCTGGGACCATCAGGGGTGAGTCTTGGCTAAGGGCTTCTGGACCTAGCAGCAGGGGAGGCTTGTGCACAGGCTGCCACAGCTCAGGTTCCTGACTCTGAGTTATGGGCAGACCTTCCTGGCTTTCTTTCAGGCAGAAGTTGTCAGCTCTTCCCTCTGTTCCCTTCTTTAATTTGGTCCTCTGAGCTCTATACCACCTCTAAAGCTCTCTGTTTGGCACTTTGGTCCCGGCCCAGCAGTGCCATCAGTTAGATGCGGGCTGAGTGGCATTGACAGGGTGGCTCCCAGCCCTTAGTGTAGCAGCCTGGCCACAGCAGGGGACGGGCTGAATCGAGGCTCCAGCAGAGAAGCCCTGCTGGCTTAGATGGCAGGAGCCACTGAGGCTGCCGGGATGCTGGGCATAGGCTCTGGCAACACCCTTGGTCACTGGTACCCTCCCCAGTCCCAGCACTGTGCTTCTGCCTGCTCAGAAAGTCCCCATGGTACATCCTCTTTGGGCAGGCGTTTGGCCACCTGGGAGAGCCTGGTCTCGGCCCCATGCCATGGTACCCAGTGCCCTCTCCTCCCTCCCTCTGGTTATTTATAACTGTGGGTCAAATGAGCAAGGCCAGAAAGAAGAGGGCCTTGGGAGAAATGAGCAAAGGAGTTCAGTCCTCCAGCAGCCAGGCTGTTTCTCTCCGCCATCAGTGAGCTCGCAGAGTGACACTGCTGACAGCTTGCCCAGGAGCTAAGGAGCCCAAGCGGGTGCAGAGGAGGGGCCAGGAGAAAAGCGGGAGGCACCAGAGGTCCCAGGTGGTGGGTGAGCTGCAGGGGCCCGAGTTTTACAACGAGCAGTCCATGCGGTAAACTCACAACTGGTTTCATTGCAACCATTTGTAGGAGGTCTTGTTCGAGTTCCCAGGGCTGGTATTATAATAGGGGAGGTGTGAAGGCAGGGCTTTCCGCAAAGCCTGCTGCTGCAGGATTTTAGTTACACAGGACCTGCCAGACAGCTGGCTTGTCAATGCGCTCTTCTTCATCCTAATCCCGGCCAGGATTTATGTTTCTTCCACGCTGGTCATGGAGTGTTTTCAGACACAATAAGCAGTGAATCTACTTTGCTTTTTGTTCATTCGTTTCATCAGTTATTATTTACTGGACATCGCGCTGGGCTCTGGAAATGTAAATGAGACCCAAAGCCTGTCCTAGGAACATGGCGTGTGTGATACAAGCAGGTAAAATGGACAGCACAGTCAGAACTCTCTTCTCGTGTAATGAACTTCCAAGCTCAGTGACTTACAGCAACGCAAGCTCATTACCGCCCAACACGGTCTGTAGATCAGAGCCTTGCATGTCCATGGGGCTCTGCTGCTTTTGGAAGCCCTGGGAGTTAGTGCTTTTTCAGCTTCTGCGTGCCTTTTCTGTGTGCCTCGGCTCCTGATCCCTACCTGCCCCTGGCCTCAGAGCAACGTGGTAGCTTCCATGGTCCTGCTTTTGTCCTCTCATTCGCCCTGACTCTGCCCTCCAGCCTCTTGTCAGGGCTCTTGTCATGGCCTTGGGCTTTCCCAGGTAATCCAGGATGCTTTCCTCACCTTACCACAGGTAGGTCCCTTTTCCTGTATGCAGATTGTCCCAGCTTCAGAGGAAGAGGGCGCGAAAATCCCTGGAGGCCACCATTCAGCCTGCCAAAGCCCAGTGCCAGTAATGTAGGAGTATCTGTCCAAGGGGCCCTCAGTGTCCCAGGGGCCCAAATAAGCTGTCAAAGGAAGAATGGTATCTAGACCAAGACCCCAGGGATGAGTAGGATTTGTAAGGGAGAAAGCTGTTTTGTGTGACTACCAGAGAAAGCTGGGTATAGTAGTGGAGCTACAATATAGTGATGGTTGTGGTGGAGGAACCATAGCAGTTTGCAGGAAAGCTAGCAGGCATCTAGGGAGGTGAGAACAGCTTTTAATCATGGGTACCTGAGAATAGATTTGATTTAGAAAGCTATGCAGCTAAGCCGTGGTCAGTCTTGGAGTCCTAGGGTTTCAGTGCTGGAATGAATTTTACAAAGTATTTGATCTAATTGACCTGAGAAGGTTACTTAATAGCTTCCAAGTCACCTGGAGGGCATCAAGGTCAGAGTAACCCTGACTATAACCACAGTTCAAGGGCAGAGGCTGGTGGCCAGCAAAGCTCTTTGACAGCTGCCCCTTTGTGAGGGCAGGCATTAGTGGTAGGGGAGTTGCACGCAGAATATTGGACCAATTTGGCCACCATCCCTCCTCCAACAAATGGAAGACTTGAAGCTTTGGCAGAAGGCGTCCATCTCAACATCAAGGGCCTACTTCACTCCCATTGAGCTCCCAGAACTGAGAATCTCATCTCCAGGGAGCAGAGGTGGCCATGGGGATGCTGTAGGGTCTGGAGATGTACGTAAGCTGGGCTTTTGGAGAGGAGTACCCGCTGAAAGTCTCTGCTGTTTTCTATTCTAGCCCTGGATCAGCTGCTGACGGAGCTGGATGACTTCCTCAAGATTCTGGACCAGGAGAACTTGAGCAGCACAGCTGTGGTGAAGAAGAGCGGCCTGGCAGAGCTGCTCCGGCTTTATACCAAGAGCAGCAGTAAGTGTGTCTCTGTGGCCTTGGAGGGGTGGCTGGGACACAGAAAGATGGTCCTGCTGGTCAACCCGGGCTGCCACAACACCCTAGCACAGGGAGGGTGGCTTGAACAGCAAAGATGTATTGTCTTACGCATTTGGAGATTTTGGGATTGAGGCTGGTTCCTTCTGACCTCTCTCTCCTTGGCTTACCAGTAGGGACCTTGGGTGCTGTTGTGGTCTCTACTCTCTCTCTGTCTCCTGTCTTCTGATTTTGTAAAGACATCAGTCATACTGTAGCAGATCTTATCCTCTGACCTTGTTTTAACTTATCTCTTTAAAGACCTTGTGCCCAGGGCCAGGGTTTGATCTTCAGCACCACAAGCCATGCAGGCGCTGTCCCCAGGGTGCACTGAGGTGGTACCTGAGACTAGGTGTGGTGGTGCATGCCTGTAATCCCAGTGTTTGGGAGGCTGAAAACAGGAGCATCACTATGAGTCCAATCTGTGTAGTGAGACCCTGTAGACCCTGTACTAAATACATAAAAAAGACTGTAAATCATAAAACATGGAGTTCATAATTTTTCCATATTTTCATTGTAGTAGCTGTTACATACAAAAAAGTATACAAGTCTTAAGCATGTAATTCATTGAGTTTTGACAATTATGTACCTGTGTGCTTGCATTCAAAACAAGATATAGACCATTTCTGTCATCCAGAGAGCTCTGACTCTTCCTCCATCCCAGTTCATTCCCTTGCCTCCTTGACCCCAGGGCAACAACTGCTTTGATTTCCTTCACCCTGGTGTGGCTGCATGTTCTGGAACTTTGTATAAATGGAATCATATGATGTGTGCTTCACGCCCAGCTCCGTTCATTTAAATGATCCATCCACATCTTGGATGTGTCAGTAATTTATTCTTTTTATTGCTGGGGAGTGGTCCATGTGGTGACTCTACCACAATCTTTATTTTTCCATTCACTTGTGATGGGTGTTTGGATTGTTCACAAATTTGAGCTATAATGTATTAGGCTGCTGTGAACATTTTTTTATAAATCTTCTTATGGACATATGGTTTCATTTCTAGTAAAAAAATTTTAAGGAAAACCATATGAAGTCCTCACAGATGAGGTGAATTTCACATTAAGGGTTTGAAAACTAGAGTTGCTGTTTGGGGACAATAAGGGACTCTTGGAGGGCATTCAATCCATCTGGCTCTTAGCAGGTACAGCCTGAGTTGTGCCAGGGAAGGAAAGTCTCCACCTGCCCAACCATCAAAATCCGGAAATGCTCCTTATGTCCATCCTGAGCCTCCTAGCATGCACTTCGAGGCTTCTTTCTTCCCCTGCTTTCCCTCTCTCCAGTGGAAATTATCTTGATTCTCTGGATGACGGAGCCAAAGGAAAGCCGAAGCCTGTCACTGTATGCTGGCAGGTTTCCCTCGAGGAGGAATAATCCCAGCTGCCCACTCTGTCATCAGCCTTGGTCTCCTGGCACCCCTCCTCACCTTCACCCAGTTCCCAGGCTCCTCCTGGCTTTGTAGCCGCGCGTCTGTCTGCCAGCCGGCTCATCAAAGAAGCTCTCGGTGGGAATGGTAGAGGGGAAATCCACACTACAAAGCAGGGCGTTAGAGAGGGATGAATCATCCCACGGAAGGATTCATCAGTGGAGCCCTTTTAAAAGCACACTCCCCAGACCTTTTAAGATGTGCTTTGACTTGAGAACATTCAATTATAAAGCCCCTCTCTGTTGGCAATGGGAAAACACCTCTTTGTGGCCCATCTGTCCCGAGATGCTTGGCACAGGCTGCTCTGGCAGCACCTCCCATCTTAGGTCCCTCCTTGGTCTAACACGTGGCTAAGCCTGCAGTAGGGGGACCTTTGTTCTGTCCTGCTCAGCCCCCCAAGTCAGGCCTTCCCCACCTTTGGTCTCTGCAGCTTGGAGGTGCTAGGAGGCTGCTGATTAGGGGGCTGTCCATGTGGACCACCTCCAGAGTGCCCCGGATTGCTGACAAATGTGTTCAGGCATACTAAGCCAGTGGCTGCTTGTATCCTTAGGGGCAAAGGCTGTTCACTAATACTGCCATATGACACAATTTCCCTTCAGTCCCCCTTGGTACCCCTTAGACGGTGGAGAAGGTAGAGCCACTTCTAACCTTGACTGCATGCTTACTGTGTCCAACAGCAGCCCTTAATATGTTCACTGATATAAATTACTTCATGGGATCCCCACCATCTGGGAGGCAGTTGTTGTTATCCCCATTTTACCAGTGAGGGAACCAGGGCTTAGAAAGCCGCCTGCCCAGAGGCACACGGCCGTGAGTGGCGGAGCTGGGCCAGGTGGGATCTAAGCGTGCACTGCCCTGACCTCCTTAGGCTTTGCTGCATTAGATTAATTGTTGTGCTGCCCACAGCAGATCCAAAGCACCCTCCCCACGCTGAACATAAAGCACTCATCTTCCTGTTAGCCTCCTGGGCCCACTTCCTTGAGTAGCTACCAAAAACAGTGAATTTTGGTCCCAGGACTTGTAGACAGAGGCAGGCTGATCTGCCTGGGCAACCACTTATGTACGTGGCTGTGTGGGTGAGTTTGTGAATGTGTATTTATACTTTCCAACAGAATTGCCTACATGTGTCTGAGCTTTTGTAGCTAAACATAGATTTTTTTTTTTTTTTTTTTTTTTTACCTTCTCTGCTTTTGATCTGGATGGTGACGAGGCACCGACCGAGGGCTCTTTCTCAGGGACTGGGCTGCCTATAGTCTGTGTTGGCTTCGCCCACAGGAGCCGTGTCCACTGCCTCCCCTGCTTGGAGGTTCTGGCACGATCCAGTGGCTGCCCACGTCTGATAAGAAACACTTCGAAGGTTCTGTCCATCCAACTGTAGCAGAGAGGTTTGTGGCCTCTTCCCCGCCCCAGTTCTGTGAGCAGAACCTCCCTCTGCAGACAGCGCAGATGCCCCCCAGAAATTACGCCCTGTCTCCCAGCACAGCAGATTCATCTTTCTAGCGCCTGCTGTGGCCTCTGTCACTTCCCACCCGTGGTGGAATTACTAGCTTTCTGTCTCAGGTTTGTTTCTCCCCAATGGACTAGTGGGTTTGTGAAGACAGAGACAATGTCACCATGGTTCTCTGTGCACTTCTGAGCATGAGCGAATAACACGAGCTTCTCCCCAGACAGGGACTGCTCAGTAGCCTTGGCTTCCGGAGCCAAGTCCCCTGTCGCAGGAGGCCTGAGAGCCTCTTCTAACGTCCTGTACCGATGTTTCCTTTTTCTCTTTGGTAGTGCTGGGGATGAGACCTCTTGCATGCAAGGCCGCCCTCCATGACCCAGGTACCCCCCAGCCTTTTACTTGCAGCTTAGCAGTGTTGTGTGGATCAGAACCACATCTATGTGAGGCAAGAACACTGCGAGTGGGAGCCTGGCTGGACAACTGAACCATGTCTTGTCTCAAAATAAGTGAAAGGAGGGAGAGAGAGAGGGGGGAGAGGATATGGAAGTAGCTCAATGTGAAGACGCTGGATTCGGTCCCCAGTGCCTCAGAAAGCCATCACCCACCTCCATGCACCACGGGCCTCCAGAGCCCGAGGAGGGAGGGCCGTGCAGCCTATTCTTGCAGTTGTGGTGAGTTCACTGTGATGTATAAACCGCCACCTTGAGAAGCAAGCGCCTCTGCAGAAGCCAACACAACCGTAACAATGCCTAGCCTTTATTTTTTGGGATAGGAACAAAGAAAGGAATGAGCTAAAGCTGACCCTGGAGGGCTACTCAGGTCCGCGGTATCTCCTGTTCCTTTCCTGATCCTTACCAGTCACCCTCACGCTTCTGCGTAGCTGTGGTTTGCCTCTGGGCTTCCTGCTTCATGTGATTTCCACACTTGGAATTGGCTGCACACACTCATTTTCACATGTTAGCCGTTGGCGTGCTTTCCTTTTAAATTCTGTAACATGACCTGTAACTTAACCCTGAAGCCTTAGAGATCTCTGCAGACAGTGAGCGTGGACCTGCCTGGTCATTTTCCACAGTTGGACAGTGTCCGCCGATGGTGGGGCCCTCACAATCTCCATGCCCCCTTATTGCTCATCTAAGTTATATTCTTACCTATAAAAAAAAATTTACACAGTATTGCAGTAAATATCCTCTAATAAACTTTTGTTTATGTGCTCAAGTTTAGGATAAATTTCTAGCTGTTGATATAAGAAAGAATATGACACATAAAATTAAATTACTCTCCAAGGTCACTTTCCAAATCATTGTGCCAGTTTATATACACTCTAGGATTTTTTTTTTTTTCTCAATTTTCATTTCTGGTGCTAGAGATTGAACCTAGGGCCACAACCATGTAAAGCATACACTCCACCGCTGAGTGTGGCACTCTTGTTCCTCTTTGGGGACTTTGTTTTGCTACTCATTGGTCGAAATTGTCCACTGAGGCAGGGTATGTACTTCATTTAAGCAGTGGGGTTACTTTGAGTCCAATACCCATGAAACACTGGGAAGTGAAAAGTTCAGGGGCCAGGGAGATGGCTCAGTGGAATAAGTGCTTCCCTGGGAAGTGCAAAGGCCTGAGTTCAATCCCTGGTTCTGCAAAAAAAAAAAAAAAAAAAAAAGTTCAGAGGGGATGACAGTCATATAGAACTCTGGCATTGAGAAGCCAGGCGGTTTTGTCCCTCCCTGGGGTCATGAGACGTGCCTGGCTGATACCTCCATGTGCACCTGCATGAGAAAAGTGAAGGACTTGGGTGTGGAGGCTCAGGGCCTTTAATCCCAGGTACCCAGGAGGCCCAGACAGGAGGTTCACAGTATTTAGGCTAGCGTGGGCTACATCGTAAGACCTTCACTGAAAATAAAAGCCATAGTAGGCATTTCTTCCTTTCTTTCTTTTTTATTTATTTTTTGGATGCATGGTCTCTCTACACAGTTCAGACTCATAGTGATTCTCCTGTCTCAGCCTCCCCAGCACTGAGATTACAGGCATGTGCCACCACACCTGATATTCCAGCATGGCATAGGGTACCAAGGATCAAGCCTGGGTCCTTGCGCTTGCCGCACAGGTGTTTAGACTGTGGAGCTGTCACTCTAGCCCAAAAGCCCTAGAAGAAAGGGCTGTAGATATTGCACAGTACTCCCCGGGTTCAACAGTGAGCCCTCAGCGTCACTCTGAAGAGCTGAGGGTTGGGAACATGGTCCAGACGGAGGCATCTGCAGCACTAGCTGTGCCTACCCAGGCCGGAGTGCCCAGCCACCAGCCCTGGCAGTGTGCTGAAGGGGGATGGGGGGGGGCCCGCTCATGGTTCCCTGATAGCTCCTAAGGTCACTGTAGCCCCATCCACTGAATTTTTATTTTATTTTATTTTATTTTATTTTATTTTATTTTATTTTCTCTGTTTTAGGGAAGGGTCTACAGGGTGTTCAGGATCTCACTACTAGGTCAGACTTGTAGTGATCCTCCTGTTCATAGCCTCCCAAGAGCTGGGATTAAGGTGTGGGCCACCACGTCCAGTCTCAGTTGCTGTCTCAGCACACCCTGTACATGGGGCCAGCACAGCAGGCCTGGGGATTGAACCCCAGGCCCCTGCACCTTCTTGAAGGTGCTTTAATCCACTGAGCTATTTGGCTGGCCCTTTCCACACTGAACTTTTAGAGGCAGCATGCCATTCTGTAGTGGATATGATATGTTTTAGTTCATCGTTTTGCTACTGTTGAGCCTTTAAGCTACTTGCCATGTTTTGCATGGTCATTCTTAATCTTTATTTACTATAAGCTTACCTCACTTTTGCTTTGAGTTTTGAAAACATGAGAATTAGGCAGAAACAAGTGTTTCCAACAGAGGCATGGGGCTTAATGCTTTGCGTGGAATTGTACCTGTAACAGCACAGCTCGGCCGAGACCCCAACTCCTGCCTCTTACTGCTCAGCACTCATCCCTGGAGCTCGCTGTGGAGAAGTTGGAAACCCCCCTCAGAGTCTCAGTGGTGGAAGGGAGTGGGCTGAGATTACCTCCGCTGCACCTCAGTTTCCTTCCAGAAACTTCCGCAGTCCCTTGTATGGCTGACCCTGCTGACAGGTCTTGGGAGTGGTGGCGGGGGCTGACACTGAGGAGACGAACAGAGCGGCTGGTAGCTGGGGACCTGTCTGGCTTCCTCCATGGTGCTGCGGCCTCTGGCTGGAGTCTGGGCAGTGCGGGCCATGGAACAGACTGAGGCGAGCTGCTTGCTCTGGCAAGGTTTGGAACTGGGTCCCTCAGCTCAGGGACACTCTCTGAACCACCACTGGAATTTATCAGCTGCAAGTTTCTAGGAAATACAGATGAAGGACTGCAGAAGAACTCTGAGGAGAAAGGCCAGGCTGGGCTCCAGGGCAGCCATGGGGGAGTAGCGCGTGGACTAGGAGCCAGGCATATGTGTGTGTGAGGGGACTTGCCATCATCTGCCTGCTATGTAGATGGAAAGGTGACCTGACATGCACACGGGTGACTTTAAAGGTGTGGAGGGGGCTGGCCAAATCGTTCAGCAGATTAAAGCACCTACAAACAGACACAGGGGCTCGGGGTTCAATCCAGGGCCTGCCATTCCAGCCCTGCCCCTGGGGTGTGCTGAGATGGCAATTGACACTGGGCGTGGTGGAGTGTGCCTGTAATCCCAGCTCTTGGGAGGCTGTAAACAGGCAGATTACTATGAGTCTGATCTAGGAGTAAGACCCTGAACACCCTGTAGACCCTCCCCTAACAAATACAATAAATAAATAAATAAATAAATGAATAAATAAATAAATAAATAAATGAGGGGAGGGCTTGTGCCCCTGCAGGACACAAACATTTTGGGAGAGGAGAGGAGTCTTTGTTTTGGCTTGGTTTTATGGTGCAGATCTGCAGTTCATAATAATTATATCCCTCACGGGGAGGTTGTGTGCGGCCATAGCACACACCATTGTTCTCCATTTCATCCTCTTCTTCCCCTTCCCTCCATCTCTTGGCTGCCTTCACTTTTGCAGAAGACCTCTATTTCTTTATTTTATTTTATTGGTGGAACTGGTATTTCTTTTTATCATTTTTAAAAAATGCATTTGGTTGTTACAGGGCCATCACTATGTAGCTCAGACTCGTGGTGATCCTCCTGTTTTTAGCCTCCCCAGTGCTGGGATTACAGGCGTGCGCCACCGTGCCGGGACTCTGCGGCCAGCTCCGCCTGCCCGGGGGGCAGGGCTGGCACGGCATGTGGTGCGAGGGATCAAGTCACAGTCCCTGCGCTTGCCTAAGCTTGCCTAAGCAAGTGCTTTCACCCACTAAGCTATCACGCCACCCCCTTTATCTTTCATTTTTCTCATTATTTATACTTTGGGTGTCTCATATCAGAGAAATCATGCGATATTCAAGCTTGTGTGTCTGATTTCAAGCAACAGTATGCTCCCAAAGTGCACCCATTTTCGTACAAATGACTCATTTATCCTTTTTTATAGCACAATAATACTCCATTGTGTAAATATGCCATGTTTTCTTTACCAATCCTCTTGCTGATGGACATATAGGTGTTTTCAGGACCTAACAGTTGTGCTCTTGTATGTACGACGTACGTACGGCACTGTAATATGATGCCTCACTCTTTCAGGAAGATACCTAGAAGGGGAGGATCTGGGTCAAATGGAATTTCTAGTCTTAGTTTTTTTTGGGTTTTTTTTGTGGAGCTGGGGATTGAACTCAGGTCCTTGCGCTTGCTAGGGAAGCGCTTAATCCACTGAGCCATCTCCCCGGCCCCTTCTAGTCTTAGTTTTTTGAGGAATCTCTGTACTTATTTTCATAATGCTTGCCCTAATATTGTTAACAACAACATACAAAGGTTCCTTTTGCCCCTAACTTTGCCAGCACTTATTATTTGATTTCTTGATGATAGCCGTTCTTTGGGTAATTAATTAATTTGCATTTCTCTACTGGCCAGAGGTGTTCCACAGTTTTTCATGTGTGTATTGTCCATTTGTACTTCTTCTAAGAAGTATCTATTCACTTAAATTCTAATCTTTTTAGTTCATTATACACTCTAGATATTAGCCCCTTATCTGAGGAGTAGCTGGCAAAGATTTTTCCCATTTTGTAAGTTCTCTCTTCACTCTGTTGCTTGTTCCCTTGACTGTGTAGAAAATTTAATTTGATATGAACCCATTTGTGATTCTTGGTGCTATTTCTTGTGTATTTGGGGTTCTGTTCAGAAAGTTCTTGCCTACTCTTATGTCTTCAGGAGCTTTATCTATTTTATATTTTGGCACATTGTTTATGTTTTAACATTTAGATCTTTGATTCATTTTGATTTTAGTTTCACATGTGGTAAAAGATATGGGTCTAGATCCAATCTTCCGTGTATGATATCATTTTTCCTGAACCACTTGTTTTTTGGATTTCATTGTATTTTTATGTTTGAATTGTTTTGTAGGTGAGGTTTATTTTTCATTTTTTTGGTGCCAAGGACTAAACCCAGGGCTTCCTGCTTGCTAGGCAAATATTCTTTCGTTGAGCTAAGTCCCCAGCCCTACCTGCACCAACTGTTAATGAAGCTATCTTTCCTCTAATGTATATTTTCACCTCCCTGTCCAAGACCAGCTAGCTGAACGTGCTTGGAGTTGGTTCTGGGTCATCTGTTCTGTGGCACTGAGCCCCATCTGTTCATGCGCCAGTACCATGGTATTCTTATCACTGTAGACTCGCGGTATAACTGAGGGTCCAGGCTCATGAGGCCTCCCTGAAGAATGCAGTCTCCCGAGTGGAGCAGGTGGCTAATGGCCCCCCGTGCCCTCCCAGCCTCCTCACCCTTTATACTCAGAGCTCATCTGATTTTCCTGTTCAGAACTCCTCGCCCAACTCCCAGCCAGGGGCCTGGGAGCTAAACTTAGATGCCATTCTGATGATCCCTGCAGGTAATTTGAGCTACAATAAGAATGGCAGCTAAGAAAATCTTTTATAGCGTAGATGAAATTCTGGAAAAGTGAGACATCTCTATTTGATGGAACTCACAGCAGATCTCTGAAGTGTGGGTATATTTCAGCATGCAGCTCTTGTTCCTGAGCCATCTTCCCATTCCCTGCCCTTCTTTCTCTCCTCCCACCTCCACCCCCACCCTGACCACCCCCTGGAAAATCAGCAGCCTAGAACTTGTCTATCTTGACTGGAAATCTGTCCATTCTATATGATGGACTTTTAATCAACTCAGAGTGCTGACTGTTTTTATGGGACCCAAACAGACAAAAATGTCTTCGGCGGGGAGGTCACTGTTTCCCTCTGGAGACCTGCCCCTTCGTGAAGTCACGTGAACCCTGTGTCTTCCGTCCACCTGCAGGTTCTGATGAGGAGTACATTTACATGAACAAAGTAACAGTCAACAAGCAACAGAATGCTGACTCTCAGGACACAGGTATGGGCTGGGATGGCTGCTGGGAGGACTGGTTTCCCAGTGGGGAAAGAAAAGGGCTGGGCTCCATCCTCCTCTCCTTCCTCCCAGCCAACATACAGACAGGCCTGGAGGAGTTATTTTTGGTTGGTGGTATTTTGGGGTGGTATATTTTTGGATGTTTTAGCAGGCTGCCACCTCCTTGCCCATTGAGTAACAAATCTGTCCCTAAAATCTCTTGGCTTTTCCCAGCAGCATCCCAAGAACAGGAAGTCATAATTCAGAAGTTCTAGGAAAGCAGCTGTGTGCCGATCCCACGGTCCCTGCTTTGTGTCTTCTCATAGAAGTCTGTTTGGGAGGAGAGGAGAAATGGTGTCATAGCAGCTGCCTTAGCGTTCAAGCATGACGCCCCGGGGCACAGCATCTTAGCTTTTCCACTGAAGGACATACGATGTCTTCTCTGGCTCACGTTCACGCTCGTTGATTTTTGCTGCAGTTTGCCAGAGTGGATCTGGTAGAACCCAGGGGAGCCAGAGGTTTGCAGAGCTGCCAGGGGCAGAGGCAGGGGCATAAGCAGCTCATCTCCCGACCTCACCTCCCAAGCCTGACGCAAATGGAAAGTCTTGGAGAGAGGCAGAAACACAGCCCCAAATGCTCAGGCCTGTCCAGGGCTTGTTTTTGCAGCACCAGCCACGTTAGCCCCGAGGGACACCTGCCGGAGCCGTCTGTCCCGGAACTGGCCTGGCTGGCTGAGACTAGAGCCTGGAAGAGCCTTTGGTGCCTTTCTGTGCCAAGGCCCTGGCTTCCTCAGTGCACCTTCCTCACCTCTTATACCCCTGGCACCCCCTCTCCCACTTTCTACTGCCAAGCCTGGGGTGGCAGAACTTATCCAGAAGGCAGCAGCCACTCTGCTCAGGGTCATTTGCCTTCTGGGTAAACTGGGGGAGGAAAAGCCATAATCACAGGGTCATGCCAGCAGCAGCCCAATATAGTGACTACCAGGCAATGACTCTGCTCAGTGGAGCTCTGTGGCAGGGCTGCTTTGGACATGAGCTGGGTGGGGAAGCTTGCCAGAAACCCAAGCTGGTTCCTTCTGAGGAATCTGCCTACGGCTCGGGCATGCTGCACCCTATTCTTGGAGGAAAAACAACCTCCCTGGGTAATTAACACCTGCTCAAATAGAACTCACGGGACAGGTACAGGACAAATGACCAGACATTCCTAGGTAATGAAACCCTGCCATGAGGCTCTGTACCCCTCACGGAAGCCTTCTCTTCCTGCTGCCCACAGGGCCCAAGGAGCAGGGTCCACTGGCCAATGGGGAGCCTGGCCAGCATGCCTCAGCTCCTCAGAAGAGCCTCCCAGACCTTCCACCACCCAAGATGGTAAGTGTGCAGCCTGAGCCCACTGTCGTCACAGACAACCATCTACCAAGCCTCTGGCACTGTCTGGGCAGCCACTGTGGGCAGGGCCAGGGCAGGGCACTGAGGGCACCAGCAGAGGAAACCTGCACATGTGACTGGGCACTTGCTCAGGGCCACTGTGTCCCATGCTGAGGTGATGAGCATGGGGAAGGGTGGTCAGACACTTTTGCTGAGTGTCCCCATGGATTTGTAGAATCCCACAGATACGCAATCAAGCCTAATAAAGTTAGGTCAGGTCTCTGGCCCCCTGCTTCCTGGAGTTAAAGTGGAAAGGATGTTGGCATCTGTCTCATCACTTGGTCGTGTTCTGCGGCCCATGTAGCATTGTGTGTGCTGAGCTAGTGCTCAGTGAGTTAAGTGGCATTTTACGTGTCCCGGGCAACTGCTCAGAGCCTTGCAGTGGCAGCGTCAGGATGAAGACCCGGGTCCTCCCAAGAAAGTCCAGGGCCATAGCTGGGATGCATCTACGTAGGAAGCAGGAGGAGGCCTGAGGGTTACGCCATCAGGAAGCTGGCTCTGTGGTCGCTGAGCTCCCACCACATGAACCTGTGGGTTCATGTCATCATTGAAGGCCCCCCGATGCCAGAATGGCTTGGAACCAGCCCCTTCTCCAAGGACTCCTGCAGACAGCAGGGATAAGTCATTCTCAAGCTGGGAAATGAGCCCATTGTGTGGGTTTGGACAGTTCTAGAGCACCTGCAGCGTAAGCTGGTGCCTCAGAGCTCTGGCTTGGGCTGGCAGGGATGTACTGAACTCGCCCTTGGTCCCTAGGAGTCCCCGTGACACTATTGGCGCCAGGTCCATCCATGTGCATTAGCCTGACCCCCTAACCCAAGCAAACTAGGTGGCATTTTTGTCACAGGTTTTGGTGGTAAAAGCCAGCTCAGCAAGTCAAAAGCACTGGCCGCGAAGGCCCCATAGCTGGACAGCGCTGAGAAGAAGCTGCGCTGCTGTCTTCGCAGCAGGGGCTGGGTGGAGCTGCGCTTGCCCCTCGCTTTTGCCCCCGGTCCTTTGAGGACCAGGGGAGCCCCTCCTCTTTGCCCTCCCACTGAGATGCCAGTGGCTTTCAGCAGAGGAGAAGAGCTGTGGTTCTGCGGGAGAAGGTTCTCTCAAGGCATTGCTTGCTGCGTGGTGGGAGTGGAAAGGTAGCTGCTCCCAGCGAGGGTCAGAACTTTCCTTTCTTGAATCTAGTGCCTGATCTGACCCAGAGGACATGAGCTTTTGCTAGTGAAAATGCAACATCAAGGGCTTCTGCTTCTGAGTTGACAAATGGTGAAGGACATTGCCTCAGGCAGGGTGGACCCAGGTGCGGACAGGGGTGTGGCCCACCAATCCCTCCTTTGGCCCCCTCCTCGTCTGTTGTAGGCACCCACTGCCCCCCATCCCAGGGGTTTCTGCTTGCGGCATGAAGAAGGGGTGTCATGGCTCAGGTGACCCCTTGGGCTCCTCACATGGCAGGCTGAGTCTTGCTCCCTCAGCCTCTCTGGATGAGTCTCTGCTGCCTGGCCATAATCCTCAGTCTGAGGCCCCCAGAGGAGTGGTGTTGGGTGGAGCCAGGAGGAGGAGAAGATGCAGAACTGAAGCAGCAGCCTCCCAGGCAGGGACTGGTCAGCTCCACCCCAAGGCCTGAGCCTGGAGTGACCCTGTGGCCTCCCTTCTTCCTCAGGCAATAAAAGGCCCTCCCTTCTTCCTCTGTCCCTAGAGCACCAGGCTGCCATGGAGCCTCACTTACCAAAATCTGGGCCCCACGCCACTGCCACCCACTGGTGGCTACAGCAGGCGCTGGATGCTGCCTGGGCTCCTCGGTACCGCCAGATGGGCCAGGATTATGGTCTGTTCCAGGGTCGGAATGCTCAATGGCCCTAGGCCCCAATTTTCTCTGTGGTGGCTGGGGCCTCACTGCCCTGCAACCCACGGGCTCAGAGGACAGCCTGCCCTGTGATGAAAGGGCAGCCAGGGGTCTGGGAAAAACCTCATGAGCGTGGGCAGTGACTCAAGCAGCTGTGGCCTTTCCCCAGCGCTCTCTGCCCAGCCAGGTGCTGTGGTCACTGCAGGAGAAACAGATGTTTGTTGGCCACTGTTTTCGCTCCTGGCAAGCACAGCCGTCTCCACCCACCTCGCCTTGGAGGCTTGCACACGCGTTAGCTGTGGTTTCCACTGAACTGCCTTATCATGGAAGCAGCAGATCCCCTAGGAGGATACTGCCCGGTCAGTGTGGAGTCATGACCTACCCATATTCCCTACCCAGGAACCTTACAGAGGGCCTGCACCCTGAGGCAGGTGCTCAGGGCTGCAAGGAAGCTGTGTCACTTGGGCTCCCTTCATATGACTTTAGCTCTCCAGTCTCATCCGGGGCTTGGCAAACTGTGGTCTGCTGGGTAATTCCCACCTGCTGCCAGTGAGGTTTTATTGGAACAAAGCACACTGCCTTAGACTGCGTTAGCTGCGGCTGTGCTGCACTTATAGTGTGGAACCGCTGAGATAAGAGGCTCCAAGCAGCCTACCAAATCTGGCCCTTTCCAGGAAAGAGATGGCGGCTCTCTGGTAAGTCCTGCAGAGCAGGGTGGTTTACTCCTGTCCTCTGTATACTCAGAGTTATTTCAGGTGCTGAAGTCAAATCCCTTTTGCATCAGCATTTAGTATTCGCACTCTCCTTCACCACAAGGAGGCTGGTATTTGGAGAAGAGCCCTTTCTCCTTACCCTGGAAGGTGCCGCTCCCTCTCCCCGGACCCTAGAAAGTAGATCCTGGTATCTGTAACCAGGAGCTTGTCTTCTGCGTTTGCACATATAGCGCTGGTGCCCCAACAGGCTGGACAGCCAAGGCCTTTCCATTTAGCAAGGTAGCAAGGTAAAGAAGAAGTTAGTACGCAGCGCCAGGGCAGGCCCAGGGGTGCTCGGCGCCCTTCTCGAATACAGCGGTCCTGGGTACTCACTGTTAATTGGTTCTGGGAGGCTCAGCCAGTAGCTCACGAGTTCTGGCTTGTGCATTGAGTACCAAATGCATTATGGGTACCAGGACCAAACTCTCGTGTCAAATGCCAAGTGAAACACATTTCAGAGCAGCGGAGTATCAAGGTATAGTAACCACAGGTTTCTCACAGGATCACAGGATCCTCAGAAGAGCGCTGATATTCTGTTCACTGAAAAGAAAGTTTTGTCCTTTTGTTTGGTTTTGTTTTTTTTTTTTTCTTTGTAAGAGAGTCTTTTTTGTCTGTGACTTGTACTCTAATATATTGGCCATTCTTTTAAGATCATGATACATGGTGTATTAACTATTGTTCTTTTAAGTACTGTTATGAAATTGTTTTACTTTTTCATAGAAGAGTGCTTTTATATCTTCTTTTTTACTATCTATTTGTATTACATTAAAATAAAAAACCAAAAATAAGATTCAAGATCATAAATTCATAGAACACAATTAAATTCATTTCTGTATCTGCCACTTGGACAAACAACATTCTATTATTTTAATGTTCTAGTATTTCTATTGTTTCAATAGAAAGTAATAAAAATATTTTATAATATGTTTGTAATAAAATAATATTTTAAAAAGTTCTCTACCAAACACATGTACACAAAGCATTTTGGCCTCTGGTATTTTTGTATTTTTTTAGGTAATAAAAACTGATATTTATTAAGTATTTAATGTTGCCGAGGATAGAGTAACCCTCACAGCAGTCCCATGTGACAGCTATTTCTCCTGTATTTTACACCAAGGCCCAGCAAGGATTCGTCAGTTGGTCAGAGTCCCATAGCTAGGATGTGTCAGTGTCGTACCTGAGCTGGGCTTGATGGTGGGACTCTTCACCTTGGTCCTACACTGCTGTCTCTCGAGGTGGGATGGGCCCCAGTGCTGACCTGCAGGGCTCCTGCCCACTGTGGCCTCTTCTGACTGTGAGGTCCTGACCCCTGAGTGAGCTTTGGGTGTCCCAGGCTCCTGTCCACCATAGCGGACAGGGTCTCAGCACCACCTGCTGGAAATGGGGCTCCTCAGAGGCTGGGGCTGACGGCCCAGTAAACTAGGGTGCACAGGTGAGCAGGGAGGACGCTCCCCCCCGCCCAGCCCAAGTAGAACTTCTAGTCACTCTGGACTATGTGCTCACTGCATGTAGAGCTGCAGCCCTCAGGAAGGAGCCGGCCCACATGCCCTTTACACCCTCCTCCCTCCATAGCCATTGCCACCTGGTACGTCCCTAATCAGCTTAGGACGTGATGAGGTGACTCTGTTCCTCCTTAAGGGGCGATGCTGTGGCACAGCCAGCTCCCGCAAGAAGGCATGGATTGCAGGACCCAGGGTGCAGCTGGCCTCTGCTAGCAGGGCAGCAGCTCAGTTCCTATCATGACAGCTGCCCTCCCTGCCCAACCTGTGGACCCCTGGGTTGTGTACAGCCCCTGACAACAATAGCAGCATCTCCTTGTATTGCACATGGGCCAGACTGGAAGCACTGACACCTACTCACGGGATCCTCAGACTAGTGCTGATAGGATTCCTGCTTCACAAAGAAGGAAAGCAGGGCTGGACAGGCTATCCTGCATTGGACTCTGGGCTCCTGGTGTTCTGTGCTCCCCTCCCCCACTAGCTTGAAGTCCAGTTGGGCATTCGTCTCTTCTGGACTGCCTCCTCCTCCCACCTCAAAGGCTAATTGCAAGTTGCTTCTGGTATACCATACCCGAAGGTGACTGTTTTATTTGTTCATGCCACAGATTCCAGAACGGAAGCAGCTCGGGGTCCCAAAGATCGAGTCTCCTGAGGGTTACTATGAAGAGGCTGAGCCATATGATACATCTGTCAATGGTACAACCCAGCAGCTGGGGCCTGGAGGGGGTCTGACTGCTTTAACCTGGAGGTGGGCGAGAGCTTCTTCGGTGGTCACTGACTTGCTCGGCCCGGTGTGCAAGGTAGAGGGTAGCGTGGGCTGCCATCGCTGGAGAGAATGGCCCAAACCACGAACTGAACACTAAGGCTTCAGCCATTGTTCTAGAGGTGATGTCTCGACCCAAAGGAGACCTCGCCAGCCCAACTGCGAGGAGGGGCTGCAGATGGCTGCTGAAAGGCAGGCTTCCCTTGTCGCAGATTTTCTGTCTTTACAGCTGTGTTACCAGTCATTGTCACCAACTGACTGAGTTCTTTTGCTCAATTCGGATAGAATCAAGATTTGGCAAGCACAGCTCCTTGATATTAGCAGCTCTGGGCTTTCAGTGCCTGCTCCTTTAGCTACAGATCTTGGTAGTTCACAGCCATCTCCCTCAGCCCCTCAGCAGACAGCATGCCCAGCTCCCTTGGTAGCTTTCTGGAGCTCCCCTGGCAGCTTCCTGTCTCCTTTCGTTCTCTTTTGCTGTCTCTACAAGTCGCTGAGGTCTCCACTGTGTTACCAGCTCTCTCTTACTGTAAACTAAGCCAACTGTACCTGAAGAAAGGATCATGAGTAGGCAACAGGCCCACCCAAGCGAGGCTTTATTAGGGTCTGCGCTACAGCACAGGAGGCTAGCACACAGGAGGAAGCCCTTCTGGAGGACTCGGCATCAGGGGACCCTACTAATATAGAGGAAGAGGGGAGGGGAGGAAAAAGGGGGGGCTGATGCAGCCAGAGCCTTCATTTCCCTGACTTTAGACTTTTGAAATTACAGGAGGCAAGGTCATCTGGAGGTCGCAGGGCAGAGGCACCTGGGATAGGTCCATGTTTCAACCTGCTGTGGCCAACTATCTCCTGGAACTGAAGCAATGGGGCGTCTAGCACAGCCTCAGCTGTTATGGCCACAGCTCCACAGCACTGTTGAAGAAGTGGCTGCTGGGTAGACAGCTCTGCTGTACCCACCGCAATAGCAGGGCTGAAGTCACGGCTTGGGGGTGGGGTCTGGAAGCATCAGCAGGGAGCTGGGTCCCTCCCACATGTTTGTCTTCACACTCAGGGTCAAATAGGCGGCAGCAGAGGCCAAGGGTGGCCCAAGGGCTGAGCCGTGGCTCCTGTCAGGGCTGCAGGCGTGAGCAGGACCTCCAGTGTGCTGCTAGCACTGTAGCAGAGGTGACAGGAAGACGCTGGGGCAAGTTGCCTCTGTCCTCCCTTGGGGCATCCAGGTCACATCCCCTCTGACTGGGGCCGATTTTTCCTGTGTGCTTTGAATTTTGCTGTATTCCACACAGAAAGGTCATGAGGAGAGGTGTGTTAGCCCCGGGACACAAGACCCAGGGAAGCAGTAGAGATGAGGCTCAGGTGGAGTCTGAGCTCAGCACCCACCTCCTTTCACTGGACTCAGTTGTTGGTCCCCCCACCCCACCCCACGTGCCAGGGGTGAGAGCACTCAGATTCAGTGGAGAGAAGACAGGCAACAGGTCAACCTCTTATTAATGTTGTAGTGATAAGTGTTAGGGCCAAAAAGTAGAATAGGGATTGGACTGTGGTGGGTGAGGAATGTTATTCTCTGATGGCGTGATTTGGGGAAGATTCCTGAATGCTGTGGGGAGTGGGTCAGGTACATGCCAGGACTTTCCAGACAGCGTAGTTAGTACAGGGCGTGCAGGGTCCCTGGCACCCAAGGGGGTTCCTGGGGTGCCAGGAGAATAACAAGGAGGCTGTGTGAAATAAGTCAGGGAATGGGCAGAAAAATGAGGGTGAAGGCTACAGGCCACCATGAGGATTTCTTTTTCCTTTGGGTGAAACTGACAGCCTTAGTGACTGAGCTCACTTAGGCACTGGGCATTGCTGTGCAGGCAGAGCTCAATGCCGGCACATGCTGTTCTTGGCCGGAGCTCAGCCTGTAGAAGCTCGGTCAGAAGTGAGTTTTTCATCGCTATAGTGAATATAGTGAGATAGTAACTTAGGAGGAGAAAAGGTGTATTTGGGTTCAAAAGGTTTATTTGGGTTCTAGTCCAAGTTCAGGAAGACCCATTGTTCTGGGCGTCCAGTGTGTGTGCTGGACTGCAGGTGCAGGGAGCAGATGGCCAAGTCAGGGGCTTGCCTCATGGCCAGGAAGCAAAAGAACAGTGGAGGAGGATGGGTCCCATAATCCCCTTTGACGACACCCCCCACCCCCCATGATCTAAGAATCTCCCTCAAAACTCATCCTCCAAGCGGTCCACAGCACATCAAGGGGCTCCCCACTGGGCCCATGCTGGGTGGAGAGAGCATCCAAGCTACAGCACCTCCCCCTGCTGCCTCTCCTTCCCCTGTAGGTGAGTAGGCATGGAAGGCAGTGTACATATGTAAGCCAAGGCTCCCTGGGAATGGCAGTGAACTTGGTCAGAGGGGGGCTTTGCTGGTTCCACAAGGATCAGGGATGAGATGGAGGGGGCAACATCCGATTCTTCTCTTTACACCTTAGTGACTGCCTCCATTCTGGGAAGGAACAGTGTGAGGGGAGTCAAGGGCCTGTTTGGACCAAGGATTTTCTAAGAGGCTGGCATTGTGGGTAGATGTCTCTTAGCTTTGACCACAAAGCATGTGAGGTGTTGCGAGTCACCACCCCGGCGTGATTTTCGGACGGAAGCAGAGGGGAGTGGTGCTGCTGTCTGAATCTTAAAGGTGGAATCAGTGACTCACTGGGTTGAGCACCTCCGTACATCTGAGGGCTGTGTCTTGGGTGTGACCTGGCCAGCCAGGACCTGCCTCCCAGACGCACCCAGGGCCATTCTGTGGGACAGACACTGTCTCAACACAAACAAGTGGTCAGACCCAACTTCTCAGCCTCGGCCTCTCACCTATGAGTGTCTTTTGGCTATAGCCAAGATTAGGAGTTATCACAGGGCAGCTTAGATACACATGTGGACTGGGTCAGGGAGGAAATCCAGCTGCAGGAGCTACAGAAGAAGCTGTACAGATTGCCTGTGGGGCCAACGTGAGAAGTGGACACACACATTACAGAAGAGCCCTTCCTTCGCATGCCCAGCTGGCCTGTCCTTGTCTTCCAGGGAGAGGTGCAGATGTGCAGGTTCCACCAGAAGAAAGGAGCAGGGGCTACAGCCTGCTGCTCCAGCTGAACAGTTAACAGCGACTTCGCTGACTTCCCGCGGAAGGCTAACTGCCGCAATGCCTGTGCTGGGCTATCCGCAGGGTCTGCACGCTGTGCCGCTGGGTCAGAGGCCTCCCTCAGAGCCAGTGTGTAATGAGTGCTGGAGGCCAGGGGCTTTCTGCTGTTTCCCAGACATCATTGTCCCTGATGTCCCATGCTGAGGATGCCAGCTACTGGAACAGATAGTCCCCCAGTCTCTAGTGTCAGCTTACAGTGACAATAAAAGCCCTCTTCTCGCTCAGCAGTTCCATGTGGTATTTCTGGTTCTGCGTAGTTCAGGCACCAGGCTCCTTCCATGTTTGGCAGCCACAGCTTGCTCTGAACAAGAGATAGCACAGGACCCCTATCTGCTTCTTCAAAACACTGTCCAGAAGTGAAGGCCTGCATTCTACCAGTGACAAGTCACACTGTCGCCTCTGGCTAGCCAAGGGCCTGGGGAATGATATCCTTAGTTGGGCTGTGGCCTCTCCTCACACTTCTGAGGGACAGGCAACCTTGTTGCCGCTATGTGTCCACACCTGGATGTGACCCTGTCTTCACCTGTCCCTCTCTTCTTGCCTTTATCTGTGCTTCCGGAAACCATGCAGGTCATTTTGGCGGATCGCTCCCTGCTCGCATCCCTAGATGGGTACAGGTGCCTGAAGGAGTCATTTATGCCACGATCACCTTGGGTACTGCTTGTCCCCAGAGCCGGAATGCCAGTGATCCCACGTCTGCTGCCTGCCTTGCCGAGATGGGCATGTCCCCGGGTGGCCGCTGACCTCCTGTCCTAATGCATGCATCCTGCATATGTGCAGCACGTGCCGCTCTGTCCAAGGAGTGACCGCTCCCCTCCTGCACCCCTCGCTGTGGTGGTGTGAGGAGATCAGAGTACACATGGTGCTTCTACTTCCAGTTGCTGAGCACTTCCCTGGGGACACAGTGGGATGTGGCCCTGCTAGAGCTGTCTGAATGGCTTTCATGCCTGCTCCCCTGCTGCCCCTGGAAGCCAAGAATCCTCCATTTATCATGTGCTATGGTCCTTCTTAGGGATAAGTGGAATTATTCATACTTTTGTATTTTGCAGTCACTTCTCTGTTAGTTGCCTCGTGCCACACAGGGCAGGCTGGGCAGGGGTCAGGATTCTCCACGAAACACACAGGGTCACCTCAGACACCCAAACCGGGCAGCGGGGCGCTGTCCCACTGCCTTTCAGTAAGCTGCTTAGTCCCGCCCCATTACTTCTTGCTCCTGGTGGAAGAATCCCACAGACTCTGTTCCTTATGAGTCTTATTATTTCATTTTGTTGTTGTTGTTGTTGTTGTTTGTTTGTTTTGTACAAATAATGCAGTACTGGGGAAAATTGTAAAAATTCACTGTAACCCTACCTCCCTGTGAAATAAACTATTTTGAGTTCTCTGTGCTGCCATATTTTCCTGGGCAGTCTGCATAGACCATCCTAATTGTGTCTTTGCCCCCACCTTCTTTTTTTCTTTTTTATGTATTTAGTACAGGGTCTGCAGGGTCTCACCACATAGATTGGACTCATACTGATCCTCCTATTCTCAGGCTCTCAAGCGCTGGGATTACAGGCGCCTGTCACCATGCCTGTTCTCAATCACCCCCTCAGAGCGCCCGGGGGGCAGGGCTGGCACAGCACTCCACCGGGGATCGAACCCCGGCTGCTGCACTCAGCCTAAACAAGTGCTTTAGTCACTAAGCTATCTGGCCGGCCCTTGCCCTCCACCTTCTTATCTTGCAGACTTTATTGAAGCTACAAACCAGTTTTCAGAGTTTTAATTGGCTGGGGTCCCTCACATGCTCCGGCATGGCTGAAGTTGTGGTTTGCTTCCCCAGCCCCATGTTGATTGCTAACTAGCACTGGACTACGCTAACGCCTGTAACATTTCTCCTCTCCTTTTAAATCTGGATTTGTTTTAATGCTGTGGAATCTACTCCAGGTTCTTGTTAGGCAAGTACTTTCCTCTCCTCCTTTTAAAAAAAAACTCATCTAGAATAAATGCTTAGGACCAAGTTTATTCAATAAAAGAATATGGATACTTTTATGGCTCTTGAAGCAGCTCCCTGCAAGGCTTATGGGAATTTATGTTACCACCAGCAGCAGAGTCCAAGGTCCCCCAGGGGAGAGTGCCACAAATTTCCCTCTTTGCTTATTTAACAGGTATAAAAAATTATAATGGTATAGCATTTTAAATTAACTCGGGGAGAGAGGCAACCACATTCTTTTTAACGAAAAGTGATATTAAAATATTTAAAGTGTCATTAGAAATATTAAAACACAATAGGATATATTTGCATCGACATTACAGCTAGACTGACTATTACAGCCTCCTCATTCTGGTTTCCTATATTCTAATAAAGATGAACTGCTCTTTCTTTAGTATGCAGGGACACAGTTATCCATGTAGGACAGGGGCTTCCAGATTCTTCTGGGAAGACTTAGGGGCCCCATGGACCACCCCTGTTCTGAAGGGTGTCATGGGGACAGAAGGGGGTGCCATTCAGCTTGACTTGGGACAGAACAAAGACTACTAACAAGATACTCATAGGGCAGTAGGCATCGGGTCCACATTAGGAATGGCGGACAGTGTCCAGTGATCAGCAGGTAGTGAGCTCCCTGTTCTTGGCAGTTCAGAAAGCCCTCAGGTTCTCGCAGACAAGACCTCTGTGCTGAGCCAGGGCTTGGACCAGGCCTGCTGCAGTTCTCTCTTCTCTGTGTCCAGCTTTCACAGATGTGTATAGATTGCTCGGTGCATTTTCTTCTCATAGATTTTGGTGGCCTTGAGTACAGCAATGAGGCCTGGAGAAGGGGGCTCCTCTTGAGGACAGGAGGGGCAGAAAGTAAAGACCAAGGCAGGTGATGCATGCATAGGATTGTTCAGTTTGTGCCCTGGTAAGTTTGGGTATTCTTTCAAGTGACAGAAACCTGCAGTGGCTCCCGCCAGCAGGACAAAAAGGGTGAGTTAGAAGGAGGTAAAGGAGCTCAGTTTGTCCTGCGGGTGTCCAACAGGGATTTCTTAAGAAGTGCTCTGACCAGGAGGACATATGCAGGAGTGGAACGTGCCATCTTGCCAGAAAGCTATTTCCCACCATGGTTGATATAGCCTTTTGAGGAGCCACAATCTCTTACCCCAATCTGGGACAGAACTGGGTTCAGCCTGGTGGCTGTGAGGACCTTCAGAGCTCATAGCCGGGGGGCATCTTCCTCCTGACCCCTGGAGGACAGCAGAGTCCTAGGCTGAGAGAACCTGGAAACATCCCACCCACCAGCTTGCTTTCTCCCAGGAAGAGTGAGAGGCCGAGGGAGGCCCCCACTTCTGGGAAGCACACAAGGGGTCCTTGGGGCAGCAGCATCTCAGGGCTGTCCCAGAAGTTAAGGAGGTAGGATTTGAGGAGGGAAAGAGTAGAACTTTTAATTTAAGTTACATTTTGTGTTCCAAGGCAGTATCTGAGAAGCTTCTGGAAGGAGGATTGCACCAGAAGGCCAGCTGCTGTGTTGGGCTAGTGCTGTTTTTAGGGCATGAAGAGCAGGGGGGGAGGGGTGGCCAGGGGCCATTGGTTGCTTGTGCCTGCGGCCTGCTGTCTTCCCCAGTGTGGCTTGTTGGGGGCAGCCCTTGCCACAGGACCCTGACTGAGCATGTCTGCTTTGCAGAGGACGGGGAGGCCGTGAGCAGCTCTTACGAGTCCTACGATGAAGAAGAGAGCAGCAAGGGCAAGGCCACCCCCTACCAGTGGCCCTCGCCTGAGGCCAGCATCGAGCTGATGCGCGACGCCCGCATCTGTGCTTTCCTGTGGCGCAAGAAGTGGCTGGGCCAGTGGGCCAAGCAGCTGTGCGTGATCAGAGACACCAGGCTCCTGGTCAGTTGGCTTCTTCTCTTCCCGGGGTGGCTGCCTAGTGGGACTTGCAGGGTTTAGGACCTTCTGATGTCAGGAGGGTTCAGTGTTTCCCTAACCTAAAATCGTGTGCAGAACTTTGTGCGGGGGAGAAAGTACTTTGTTTCTGGGCTAGAGAGATCGCATAGTTTTCATCAGACTCCCAGAGGGTCCCAGGCACCTTTCTTTGAGTGAGATGCATCTTTCTGTCCCTGGGTCCTTCCTCACCTCACATAGCAGAGCCCAGCGGCTCATACAGTACCATCCCCAGCCCCATTTTAGCCTCTTCTCAAAATCTGCAGTACTTTGGATGACCAGTTGTAATTCAAGTCTATAAAGGACCTAGAGATGTTACTCTGATAACAATCCTGTTTCCTGTCATTTTAAATTAACATTCACAGCTTTAGCCTAGGCACATGTGCAGTGGTGCACACCTGTAGGCCCAGCTACATTGGAAGCTGAGGCAGGAGAAACACTTCAGGAATTTGAAGCCAGCCTGGGTAACATAATGAGACCCCATATCAAAAAAAAAAAAAAGAAAGAAAGAAAATAGTTTTATGTCCTGACTTGAAGTTCCATGAAATTATTATAAATAGATACTTCTCCTTCTCTGATTGCAGTGTGCCCTCTTCTCCACAAATGATATGATGCTGCAACAATCCTATCAGGCAGCTTCCTAAAGACCCCCATTTTATAGTGAGAAAATGAGAGGCTGGGTCTTTCGCTGGTAGGGGAAGAAATTCCCTTTTGTTCCTTGCTGACACAGCAGATAGTAGGCTTGGATTTTGTGCCTGACGAATCGCTTGCTGAGAAGAGAGGCGGACAAATGGGAGAAGTTTGCTCCATCCTGGAGGAAAAACAGTTGCCTACAGGGTTGTAGGGTCAGGCACTGCATGAGAGCGGGGGCATTTGGAGAAATGCGGCCTCCGGGTCCAGTGACCGTGAGCGTCAAAGTGTGTTTGACCTCAAGGGCTTCACCATTAGCTGCCATGATCCCAAGAGACCCCTGGCCATCGGTGCCGCCAGTTGTCCGCAAAAACTTCATCAGTGCTCTGACTGCACTGAAGGAACTTCCTGCCCGAGTCCAGAGCAAATTTAAGCCACCAGGACGAGCCAGGCCTAGGGCCTCTCTAGCCGAGGAGAGGAAGGCAGGCTGATGCTGGGATGGCAGTGGTGGACCCCTGAGGTGAAGGCCCGCCTCATGGTGTCCCACCTTCTGGTTTGGGGTATGGCCAGGCTCTCGGGGATCTGTCAGGGTTCAGAATGCAGCCAGCCCTCACCCCTCACCCCCGCCCCGAGCCTGGCCCAGCAGCTTCTTTTCTCTTCTCCTGCAGTGCTACAAATCGTCCAAGGACCACAGCCCTCAGCTGGATGTGAACCTGCTGGGCAGCACCGTCGTCCACAAGGAGAAGCAAGTGCGGAAACAGGAGCACAAGCTGAAGATCACGCCCATGAATGCGGACGTGATCGTGCTGGGCCTGCAGAGCCGGGACCAAGCCGAGCAGTGGCTCCGGGTGAGGGATGCTCCAGGCGCTTCTTCCAGGCCTGACTTTGGGCTCTGGCTCCTTGTACGGGGTAGACCATGTGTTCCAGGTGGTGCCGTGGAAGCAGGTGGAGCGCACTTCTGCTCGGCCTGAACCCAGGACTTGGTGTAGCTGAAACCGCTCATCAGCCTCCTTATTAAAGAGCAGATGTCCCTGTCATCTGTGAGGAACTTACCCAGGACTGTGGGTTTCAGCAGGCTCCACCCTGGGGCTGGTTGGGTCACGCTCCTGCTCGAATCTTACGGAGCAGAGTTTAAGGCTTGGAGGCAGAGGTGACTGGTCAAGCTCAGCTGGAAATTGAGTGGTAGCGGTGGACGCGAGACCTTGGGCTTTCTGACCACAGTGCTGAGTGTTCTGCCTCCAGAAATACTCTGTGCTTCCCCCGGCCCAGGAGTGTGAGGGCCCCCGAGCTCCCGGGGAGGGCTGGCCTTCCTCGTGTTAAAAGTGACTTGGACAGTTCAGAAGGTCGCCCTCTGCACTCAGAAGGGACCCACAGTGCCAGAGGGGTCATGAACCCCAGCAGAGCGCCTTGCAAGGCCAGTGAAATAAATCTACCCCTCCCTCCTTCCTGCTTGCCCCCTCTGCCTTGTGGACGTATGTCCAGTATTCTATCTGTCCCCAGCTGCCATGCTGGATCAACATAACCCCATGGCAAGCTTCTCAGAAACAGACCTAGGCCTCTTATTCAAATGTGACTAACTTCACCTAGTGAGGTTCTGGCCACCCTGAGGTCCAAGTCAGCACCCCGGATTGTGAGCAGGCAAGCTGTTTCTGGGAAACCACTAAATGTTTTGGGAACTCTAGCCAAACCAAGCTTATAGAAGAAACTGGCAGGTACGCCAGTCCTTACTACAGTTTTTGGGTGGTTAGAGAACCAGGATAGAGAGGGCGGCTGCACCGACAGAGTTGTGGTCCTGCGGGTTCCTGAGATCGTTAGCTCTGAGCTGCCTGACTCTGAAGAGCAACTGCTCTAGTTTCAAATCCTGGCCTTGGCCCGTTTTAGCTGTGTGATACTGATTGGATCCCTAACTGTGTTTAAGTGCATAGCACAGTACCTGATGTATACCGAGGGTAGGAAACTCTGCCAAGAAAGACGAGAGGCTCAGAGCTCATGTCTCCCTAGGTCACGTGCCAGCCCTTTCATCCTTACCCACTACATAAGCATGTACACGTGTGCACACACACCCATTTGCACATGCACACATTTGCACACACATGTGCACACATTTGTACATGTGTGTCCAAACATACGCACTGCTCTGCTCCGGAGCCCAGAGCCGTTGCCCTGACCTCTCCGACACGTGCATCCTCCCCGTGACCCCCAGATTCCCTCCCCAAACCCTGCCTCCCTCTGCCTGAGGCCCCTGGCCTCCACAGTCCCTGTTGCTGACTGCAAAAACAAGAGCACTTTCAGAGGGTCCAGCCTGTGCGTGTCCAGTCTTCCCTGAGAGCTTTCTCCTCCCTGGTGAGGCAGGCACAGAGGCAGGCCTGGATCTGTACAGATGCTGCTCCTGCAGCGCGGGGGGTTTCTGCAGTCCAGCCTGCCCAAGGGGCTTCCTCTGCATGAGCTTCGTAGGTTGTGTCAGACTTGCCACCTTCCCTGGCCTCTGTCTCCTCGTCCTCTTAGTCACACCTGCGCCCGGGTTGTGATAGGGATAGGATGGCACATGGGCAGTGCTAGGTATGAGATAAAGAGCATCAGGAAACAAAGGCTGACTGCAGGGCCTTCCAGGTAGGCAGGAACCCCCATGGCCCTGAGCCTGAGCTGCCCCGGGCGGGGCATCCACATACTCAGGAGTGAACACAGCTACTCTGTGCTGGTTCCTTCTCTGCCTTTTATTTCCCTGAGACAGAGTCTTGCTGTATAGTTCAGGCTGGCCTCGGCCTCATGATGATCTTCCTGCCTCAGCCTCCCAAGTGCTGGGATTTCAGGTGTGTGCCACCGCACCTGCGCAGCTCTGGGTTCCTGACACTGCAGTCCTCACAGCTAGCGCAGAGCTGTGGTTCCATTCTACAGATCCTGTGGTGGGCTCAGGCTCAAAGTCACACAGCTGCCCTCTCCCCATGACACTGTGTCACTGTCTTCATGAGCCAAAGCCCTAACTGGAGTCCATCTAAGAAGACAGCAATGTCTCCATAGCACTTCTTCCTTTTTCCTTTGATGCTTATGATTTTAAAACCATTTCTAAAAACTGCTGCGAGCAGTTCATGGCACCCAGGACAAAACGGCACCCAGGCCTGCATGGTGGTGGCCGGCAGTGACATGACCGCGCTGCAGAGGCCCTGCTCACCTCCAGAGCACAGGGGCCCTGTGGGAAAGGCCGGAGCAGCCACCCTCCCCACTGCACCTGCGCACCATATCCTGAGCCCACCGTGGGCTGAGCCGGGCAGGGGTCTCCTGGTACCTTGTCAGTTGTGTGTCCTCCCCCCCCACCTCACCTCCTATCTGCAGCCCCCTGGGCCTCTTCTGGGGCCCCGCTGCTGACACCGCTCTTCTGTGGCAGGTCATACAGGAGGTAAGCGGTCTGCCTTCCGAAGGACCCTGTGAGGGAAACCAGTACACCCCGGAAGCCCAGCGCCTGAACTGTCAGAAAGTAAGGCTGGACACTGTGTGGGGATGCAGAGGACCTGTTGCGTTGTTGTTCCAGAAAAATCAGAACTGTAAATGTGGTAGCTTTGTTTTTGTATTTCTGCCCAATTAATCAGAAACATGTCATTCTTGGAAAGGGACAGTGACTTTAATTAGGTGGTCAGGAAAATGGATGAAATGGATACAGATCTAAAGTATTTTCTTGCTGGGTGTGGGGGACGTGTTATTAGAGCTGCAGTCACTTTGCCCAGCATTCTTATGCTGGGACGTTTCTTTTCTTTTTTTTTTTTTTTTTTTTTTTAATGAATTTAGGACAGGGTCTACAGGGTCTCACTATGTAGATTGGACTCGTAGTAATTCTCCTGCTTTCAGCCTCCCAAGTAGTGGGATTACAGGCGCGTGCCACCATACCATCTCAATCACTGTTTCAGCATGCCCAGGAAAGGGACCAGCACAGCATGCTGGGGATCGAACCCTAGCAGTTGCGCTCTATCGAATCAGGCACTTTAGTCCCCTGAGCTATCTGGCCCCACCCTGAGATTTATTTCCTGAGGTTCTTGCTTTCTGCTATTTGCTGGAGTAGCTTCTGGAGGGCGTGGTGTCCACACTGATGCCCCACCCCCCAAGGCTCCAGAGGTCATCTGTATGGAACTCCCGGGGCCCAGAGGTTGGTTTGAGAAGGGCGCGTTGTCCACTGTGAAGCCACCCTTCATGTCCCTTAGTGCCTGAGGGTGAGTCCCTTGAAGCCATAGTGGGGTGTTAGCCCCATTGTCTTATTTAGGGGTCCAGCCCTGGCAAGGAGGACGGCAAAAAGGCATTCAGGGCCCTGGAGGAGGGAGGGGCCTTTGCTCCCCAGCCAGGCACAGAAGTGCCCAGACCCCACCTGGGTGACGGCCAGTACTGGTGTTTTCATGGTCTTGCTCATTCCTTGGCTTCTCTCTTGAAAACAAAAGTCGGAGTGAATTTGAGTTTTCTTCCTGCTGTGTTGAGGGTGGGAGCCTCCCAGCAGACAGCTGTGGCATGTCCCTGCTGGGGTCCACTCCTCCAACCTGCTGGCTCAGGCTGTGCTGGAGGTCGGCGCCGGCAGCCTGCTTTTTGGCAGCCGGAGCAGGCAGGAGTGTGACTAGTGACTGGAGCATTCCAAGCACTTCACAGTCAAGCTGTGACCAACGGTCAACCAGAGACTGCCCCTGTCCCCACCAGTCCTGCTGACTCAGATCAGGTTGTTACCCCCACTTGATCCACACGAGTGAGGTTCACGAATGGTCCTTGGTCTCAGTCACTGAGGGGCCTGGCCATGGGACCTCAAGCAAGGCTTGTACTCTTGGCTGATCCCGTGCAGGTACCCCTGCGTCCCTGCAGTCCCATATCTTGCTTGTGTGTTCAGGTCTTATTTGGAGGGCATGTCAACTTGAATGCCATCCCAGGGGCTCCTGCCTTCCCACTGGCTCTAGGGCCACTGTCACAGGGGATTGGGCAGAGATTTGGGGAGCAAGCATGTGTGATGGCTTGGACAGGGAAGGCACCCTGCAGAGGGGCGGGGGACAGACCCGAGGGACCTCAAGCAGGTGAAGCCAGGTTCTTTGGAGAGCCTAAGGGAAGCTGGCCAGTGTCCTACCAGTGACCAGGCTCTCGTCTTGAGGCTTTGTTCAGGCGACCTCTGGTCTACACCCAGCTGCTGCTTATGTTCCTTAAATTGTAGTCTCCAAGGTAACCATTTCTATCTGTGATCCACACCTGTGTCTCTCCTGCCTACAGCCAGATATAGCTGAGAAGTACCAGTCAGCCGAGTATGGGAGCTCCGTGGATGGGCACCCTGAGGTCCCCGAGACCAAAGACGGTAAGACTGACCAGGCTCTCGGCCATGAGACTGGGCGTGTGACAGCCTCAGCTGTGTGGGTTTTAGCAGCTGATTCTCACATGGAGTCCAACTTAGGAACTTCTGGGAACTAGATCCTGGAGAAAGGGTACAACAGCCATAGTGAGGTTAAGCTTTGTGACAGGCCAGGGGAAGAAGATTTGTGCATCTCTTGTCCTCCAGTCCTACTTCAAAGCCTGCCCAGGAGGTAGAGCTTATGAAGATGCTCAAGGGCTCGCCTGTTCCAAGAAGTCTGTACACCCTCTTGGGGCGTGTGCCTTCAGAGACAGCTAACTCTGTCCTACAGGTCATCGTTGGGGCAGCAGCTCTGTGTGTGTGTGTGTGTGTGTGTGTGTGAGAGAGAGAGAGAGAGAGACAGACAGACAGACAGACACAGAGAGAGAGAGAGTGTCTGTGTGTGTGTGTGTGTGTGTACGTAGGGGGAGATGTGGTAGATAGAACGGGGATGAATTTGCACATGGGTGGGCTACACCCCTGCTGATGGTGTTCTCTTATCTTGACAGTCAAAAAGAAGTGTTCTGCCGGCCTCAAGCTGAGCAACCTGATGAACCTGGGCAGGAAGAAATCCACCTCGCTGGAGCCCTCGGAGAGGCCGCTGGAGACCTCCAGTAAGGCCTGGTGTCTCCTCTGGGACCCAGGGCTCATTCCTGGGCTGGAGCCTGTGTCCAGGCAGGCAGACCAGGATGACCCAGGCGAAGGATGTCTGTGCTGGATCCAATCTCCCCCAGGAATAGGAATGTGCAGTTTTCGGGGTGCATGCTTTATCCATGAGTGATTACTAGGCTGTAGCTGGAAGTGTGCCTGGCGGCTGGGTGAGAGCCTGTCCCCTGGGGCAGGACAGAAAGAACACTGTCTTCCTTCACGGGTCTTCGGTGCTTAAGAGCTAGACCCCTACTTCTCTTGACTCCAATTTCTTGATGTTGTGATGGGTACCTGTGGCATCAGCCTGGGGGGGGCAGAGTTCCATGTTCTGGCCCCTCATTCCTCCACTTGAGTGCCATGACATGATGTTAGTGTGGCTCAGAGATAGTCGTGTCCCCTCTGTGTGCCCAGCACTGGCCAGGGCAGGAAGGTGGCTGGGTACTTACACCCTGCTGCCTGGCTCATCCAGCAGGGGTTCAGAGCCACTCTCAGCCCTGTGGCGTGGCACAGGTGCCACTGTGTAAGCCATGACATCCGAGGAGATGAGCAGAGACATCAACCCACCCCACGTGGGTATGCAGGTGGCACTGAGCTGGCTTTTGCTCATCTTTGTCAAGGACAAGGCTGTGGTGTGTCTTGTCAGCTCAGTAAACATTTGCCTGATGGGGGGAAAGGTTTGTTCTGTCCTTGGGGAGCTGACACAAAACATGCAACCATCTGAGAATAGAAAGGGTGGCACGAGTTCCTGTGCTGGCACAGCCAGTGCTGGGCCTTAGAGGCAGGCAGTGGGGGTCTCTGGTGGGAAGGACACAGATGTCGACACTGGGCATGGCAGAGGGCCTTGTGCACTGCCTGACCTTGGAAGCAAGTGTGTCTGGCTGGGAAGCCTGGAATGGAGACCGAAGGTTGTATTGTACCAGAAGCCCAGGTGATCTGACCAAAGAGAGTAAGAAGCCCGGACCGGGGATGCCCCAGGGCAGCTGGACCAAGCAGACATAAGCTGGGGACTGGGATGGAACAGCGCAGGGGTGATAACGACTGTTGAGGAGCTCCGGGGGCTAAGGCTGCACCTGCAGCCAGGAGATGGCCCTGGGAATGTCCTTCCCAGTGAAGGCCTAGTGATGGCAACCATTTTAGAGCTTTCAGTGATAGCAAAGAGCCACTCCTGGTCTAGGTGCTTCCATAAAGGAAGAAGAAATACACTATTGAGATCCACAGCCTGCCTGAGTTGAGAGGCATGAAAGGTTCTCACCAATACAGGGACGCTCTTGGGAAGCCCAGTGGCGATGCCAGCCCTTGGCTACCCCGACCCTCCTCCAGCTGGGTCCCTTCCTGCAGGTGTTGTCCTGCTGTCCCTGCCCCATGTGTAGCCTCATCTTCTGTAGCCCCATCTCCCTGATCTCCATGTCCCTCTGCAGGTTACCTGAACGTGCTGGTGAACAGCCAATGGAAGTCGCGCTGGTGCTCTATCAGGGACAGCCACCTACATTTCTACCAGGACCGGAACCGCAGCAAAGTAGCCCAGCAGCCCCTCAGCCTGGTGGGCTGTGAAGTGGTCCCGGACCCAAGCCCTGACCACCTTTACTCCTTCCGCATCCTCCACCATGGGGAGGAGCTGGCCAAACTCGAGGTACCACTAATGTGCTGGTAGTCTGCGGGGACAGTCGGGGATGGGGGCCACAGCTGACAGCTATGGGTCTCGAGGGCCAGATCCTGCTAGGGAAAGAATCTGTGCAGCTGCTGGTCATGTTACTGCTTTTGCCTGTGATTGTTGTCCATTTCTGTTCTGACCTCAGGGTAGTTTTGTTGTAGGAGCGGGACAAAGCTTCTTCCTGTACTGAAGGCAGGCCAAGCATTCATAATTCCCAGGGCTGCTAGCACTGCTTCTGGGAATTAAATAGGTACTACTGAGTTGATGTGTCACCAGCCAGGAAAGCCTTGAGGCCCATAAAAATGACCACTGTCACAGCTTACTGGGGTTGGGTAGCTGTGATACATCTTTTCTCCTACTCCCCACCCTCTGATACGATGTTACATTTACAAAGATGAAAGGTGATACAGTGCCTTGCAGTGAGCCCCAAGGGCAGGGCCCAAGTTCTTCACCCACACACACTTGGTCACACTCTCCTCCATTAACTCCTGTTCCTGTAGTCCCCATCCAGGGGTCTTCCTCCAACGTTACTCCAATACTGCCCTCTGGTGGCTGAAGTGTCCATCCCACAATTCCTAGCCCACAAAAGCTTGGGTTCAATGTCAGCTTGCCTAATACCTCTGCTCAGAGCCACATTCTGGTAGACAGGAAAGATGCTCCCTGTCCTCAAGGAACTTGCATTCCAGTCAGGGAGAGTGACGGCATCTGGCTGACGACCCAGTTACTGCTTAGTTATAGCCCTGCGGTGGAGGGGGGCGGTGCTGTGAATGTTTAGGTGCATATGACCAGGCTGGGTGGGGCAGGACTCAATCCTAGGGGTGGCGAGACCAGGGCAGGGTTTCAAGGGAAGTGGCATGCTCAGATTTGGGCTTTAGGATGCTTTCTCCAGCTGGGGGCTGGGGGTGGATGCAAAGGAGACAAAAGGAACAAAAAGACCTGTTAAGAAGCTGCCATCCTTACCCAGGGCAGAGATGGTGGTGGCCTGAACTAGGGAATGGATGCCCTGTGAAGTGGCATTGAGAAGTCCAGTTGAAAATAGGAAAAGCAGACCACCTAAATGTCCAGGAAAATAGTCAGGGTGGTAGTGCTGTGTGGTAGGTACACTGCCAAAGGAAGCTGGATTTCCTCATGAAGATAAACCTACAGGGTTTAGAGAATTTTAATTTTTTTCATTATAAAAGCAAGAAATAGTGTTGGCATTTGAATAGAAGTGCCCAGTGTACATTTGATACAAATTTTTGCCCCCAAAGGGGGAAAAGGTCAAATTCACTGGGATTTAGTTAATTTAGCAGAGCTACTTGACACAAGTCTTTACAACACCTTGACTTTACAGAAGCTGTAAACAAAAGTAAATGTGATTGCTGTCATCTTAGTGAGAATCTAGGCAGTCTTGCAGGGATGGATGAATTAGGGTGATAAACTGACCGTCACCATTGATGCGTTACAGGGGTCACCCTACAGGCACATGATGTCTTAACTCTCAACAGGTGGCAACTGTTAACAATTGCCTTTTAGAAACACAGATCTGTACATCCCAAGTGACCAGGACACCACTAAGGGAGTATTACGTTGTCACCAGTGGGGCATGCTGTCGGGGAATACCAGGAGCAGGATGTGATGTTGACAGTGAGGGAGGCCCAGGCTATGGAAGGCTGACCATGGCGTGGGGACTGGGCAGTCTGGGCATCCTGCTGGTGGGCTGGGACAGCCCCCAGGTGTCACACACGCCCTGCTCAGATCTCCCTTGGGCTCCTTCTAGGCCAAGTCTTCCGAAGAGATGGGCCACTGGCTAGGCCTCCTGCTGTCTGAGTCAGGCTCCAAGACAGACCCGGAGGAGTTCACCTATGACTACGTAGATGCCGAACGGGTTTCCTGTATTGTTAATGCGGCCAAAAACTCTCTCCTGTGAGTATAAAGGGGCATGCACTGGGTACTCTGCCAGCTCCAGCCCTGCCCCTACGCCCTGCCCCAACATGCCTGTGGTGGGCACCTGGATCACACAGCCCTGAGTGCAGGACTCAGCCCTACTGTGTCAGCAGCAGGAAGGCACAAGTCCACAGTCCTGGAGCAGTGCTCGTGGGGGCCATGCCTGGCCCTGGGTACCCGGAGTGGCTGCAGCTCTGGCTGGATATGCTCCAGCTCCCTAGGGCAGAGTGGGCACCTGTGCTGATCTTCCTGTTGACTCAGCACTTTTCCTGGCTCCCTCGCTGGGTGCTGGGTGCACAGCACATCTGGAATAAGCAGGGCACAGAGGAGCACTTTTGCTTTCCAGATGAGCCAACGGGGACTCTATGCATAGGACCACAGTTCAATTCCTAGCTCCAGAAGCTGCACCAGACCTGCCCTTATGGCAGCTTGAAGTAGAAAAAAGAAAAAAAACCCTCCTTCACAAATGGGGACTCTAGATGTGTACCCAGGATGGGAAGGTAAAGCCGGCTGGCCCAGGTAGGAGCTGGCTGCGCCGCTGAGCAGAATCCATTCTCTTAAGCAAGCACAGAATGGGGGTGGAGTCTGGTCTACACTACCCCAGGTGCTGTAAGGAAGGAGATTCCAAAAGAAGAGAGAGGGTTGGAGCCGGGGAGATGGCTCAGTAGAATAAGCATTTGCCTGGCAAGCGCAAGGGCCTGAGTTCAATCCCCAGTTCTGAAAAAAAAAAAAAAAAAAAAGGAGAGGGTATAGGAGACAGGGGAGCTTGCAGAAGAAGAATCTGGGCTCAGGGTTCCAGGAAGAAGGTACGGGCAATATGAGGAAAAGCCCCTAAACACACGGGGGTAGCTGTTGTCCCCAGATTCTTGTGCAGTGGAGGCTGGCATGGCCACCGTCCTGCAGGGGAACTTGGTACAGCTGATCCTGGCCGCGTCTTCCAGGTTGATGCAGAGGAAGTTCTCGGAGCCCAACACCTACATCGATGGCCTACCCAGCCAGGCCCGTCAGGAGGAGCTCTACGATGACGTCGAGATGTCAGAGCTGACACCTGCGGTAAGGACTCTGTGGGCAGCAGCTTGCAGCTGTCCTGTCTGCCTCCTGCCAAAGCTGCGATCCAGAGATGGGCGGATCGTCCCCAAGAGGATTCCAAGTCACCTCTCGGTGCAAGCTACTAGGGGCAGCAAGCCCATCTTTTGTGCATGGCACTGTGTACCTGGTGTGGCTTGGGGCCCTATCTAGACTGAGCTGGCTGACTGCCCTGGTCAGTGTCGGGGTGAAGGGTCCGATGTGGGGACCGAGAGTGGCGACACCATTAGCTCTCACACTGATGGCTGATTCCTGGGACTGGGCATTGAGCTCTTGCTGCACTAAGAACTTTACAGATGAACTTAGCTTAAGCAGCCTCTAGAAAGACACTGCTGCTTTCCTCTTTGCAGGCAGAAATAAGGGTCAGAGAAGTTGAGTACTACATCCTGCGTCTTCTACTTCCCAAGTGGTCCATTCAGGACCCAAGAGGAATTTGCAGTAGGGACGGGGAGCTCTGAGGCAAGGCCGGTGCCCCACTCACAGGCAAGAGAGTGGAGGTCAGAGGGAATGCCACCTCACTCCTTCTGCAGGTGGAACCTGCCGAGGAAGCCACCCCCTCGATGGATGCCCTTAGTGACAGTGAGCCTGACAGACTGTACCTGGACCTCACGCCAGTCCAGCCCTTCGTGCACGGCCCCAGCAGTGTGCAGGCCTGGGCTTCAGACCCTGTGTCACCGCAGCTGGATGACATGGCCAAGGTCTTCCCTGCAGACCCTGGCCCAGTCCCAGAGGACCTCTGTATCGTGTCTCCAGACAACCAGGAGGAGCAGGTACAGGGCTCCTTCTGTGGGAGAGTCGCCCACCAGCCCTGCCCTCCAGCTGGCTGAGTAGGGTTTGTATTCCTCCCACAGAGGCAGCTGGCAAGCCAGGAGGCTGAGGAGCCTGCTCTGAGGATCACCACAGTCAAACTGCAGGCCGAGCAGCAGCGAATCTCCTTCCCGCCAAACTGTCCCGACACCATGGCAGCTGTCCCGGCTAGCACCAGCCCACCTGTGAAGGACAGGCTGCGGGTGAACAGTGCAGGTGCCTGTCGTCCTTGAGCTGAGTATTTTGCACGTGACTTGGAGGAGCTAACCCGACTCCCTCCCTTTGAGATGAGGAAACCAAGGTTGCGAGGTGAAGGGGCTTTCTAGGGTCACATAGCAAAGGCAGTATGGGCCTCTTTCCTTTGCCATCCCTGCTGGGAGGACAGGACCCAGCACTCATCTGTGCCCAAGCCCCTGGTTTTATCTGGGCCTGGAGAGAGGGGCTCAGGTCGGGTCTCAGGATCTAGCCCAGCTCACTTGGGGCCTCCCCTCTCTGGGTCTTAGAGATCAAACTTGGCAAGAATCGGACAGAGGCAGAGGTAAAGCGGTACACAGAGGAGAAAGAAAGACTTGAGAAGATGAAGGAAGAGATCAAAGGGCACCTGGCTCAGCTGCGGAAAGAGAAGCGGGAGCTGAAGGAGACGCTGTTAAAATGCACAGGTAGGAGCCCTCAGCTTGGGGGATGGATGCGCTCTGCAGGGAGCCTGGACCTGTGTCAGGCTTCCAGACCCCCAGGCCTAAGCTCCTTCACCCTTGGCAAGGGCCCTCGCCTCTGGGCCTGCCTGAAGCTGCCGCACTGCACAGAGGAGCCCTCTGACCAGCGTCAGTCGGACTAGCAGGTGCTTAAGCTATTTAGCAGGTAGGTAGTCTTTAAAAATATGGTGAGGCCTGAAATGTTTGGTTTCCACTTAAAATATATATATATATATATATATATATATATATATATATATATATATATATATATATATATATATATATTTTTTTATAATAGCATTTTATCTATTACTGTACAGTAAAGAAAGCAAGGCTTTTTTGTTTCTTTTAAAACAATTAGAATTGGGCCATATAAACAAGCTCATAGACAAGATATCATAGTTATTCTTATAGCAAACAATTTAGTTTCATGAAATCAACTGTCACTAGAACATTAAATAAGTTGTAGTTATTAAAATAGATTTCTAAGGCCAATCTTCTGATGTAGTGCCAGGGCCCTCTGTAGTCTGGGCCCGTTGACAGGTGCCCACGATGGACGGCTAGCATGAACCACAGCTTCAGGGCATCGCCCTCAAGCTTAAAGATCTTGCAGAGCAATCTGAGGCAGAAAGATTGCTCTAGATTGCTCTCTAAATCATTTTCCTCTCATCCTACCAACCCAGCTAGTAACTTACCTCTGCAGAACCTTGCTAATGCCTTTGATTTAGATCTCACATAGTAGCTCTGTGCTCATTTAATATTTCAATTGCAGCTTTGCTCTGACCGGCAGAACTGGCAGAGCAGGTTTGAAGACAAACATAGCTGACTCCTGGGAAGCTTACAATAGGACTGGTGAAGAAAGGTCTGAGGATACAGTCACCCTTTAATAACAGCTGTATTCAGTTCTAATCCACATAGCATGCAAGTGACCCATTTAAAGTGTACACTTGGTAGTTGTCAGTATATTTGGGGCTGTGTAGACTTCACTATAATCGATGTTTGAGTCCCAAAGAAAATCTGTATCCATTCACAGTAAATCATCTCCCCCCAGGTCTCTGACCCCTTATCAAGCACTATGTGTAGAAGGGGATTTTCTAGTTCCGAGGTTCCATATTTTTGCATGTCAGGGCTTGGAGGAAAAGACACAGTGGCTTAGCTTCCAATGACCCAGCCAAGACTACAGGGCTAGGATGTGGGCAGGTGAAGATGACTAGGGGCTTGCCTGAGGCAGCGTTTGTGTGACTAGGATTCTGGGGGTGCTGTGGGGCCTTCCAGAGATTCCTTCTAGATTCATATCCTGAATAAATAAGTGGTCTAGACACATGCATGTGGTAGGGAGGTTTTACATTTTTTTTAAAGGCAGGAAGAGACGTATGCTTTGCAGTGTGGGCCACAAAGACAGAGCATAGTGGCCCCAATGTTAATGACCAGTCTTTTCTACTCCTACTAGTCTTTTCTCCTCACCCTGACTTCAGACGTAGGTCATCCTATGAAAAATCTGCTTTCTCTCACACCAGAAGGATTGAAAATAGCCTTTTGATTGGTCCCAAGTGCAGGGCTTGAGAAGGGTTTTCTCATTCTTTTCTTGAGGATGTGTCCTGGACCTGTCCTTCATAGGCCACACCCATGTGCCCAGTTGGCTGGACATACTCTAATCTCTTGCCACATTTGGACGTCCCCCTAGCGCTGAGCTGGAGCTGTTAGAGGCCACGAGCTCCCCACCTTTCTCCAGTGCAGGTATTCCAGGCAGGAGAAGACAGCTGTCCCTGTGGTTTTCTTCTCTTGGCAGGTAAGCCAGGAGACCTTAGGTTAATAAGTCACAGACAAAAGGAAAATGATTACCAAAGTATTGCTGTTGGTCAAGTTGGGGTTTTTGTTTTTTGTTTTTGTTTTTTTGCGGAACTGGGGATTGAACTCAGGCCCTTGTGCTTGCCAGGGAAGTGCTTATTCCACTTAGCCATCTCTCCAGCCCCCTTAAAATATTGCTGTTGACCACTATGCGTGAACTGTATTTTTTAAAACATTTTGGACCCTGAAACATCATTAATACATGTTTTCCACTTTTCTTATCTCTATGAATTTTTCTTGAAGTAGTGGTCCTATTATCGCTCATCTCTTGTCACTGGACAAGGCATGAGGAGATTCCTGAAGCTGAAATAAGGAACCTAACCTACCTTAGAATAGGTTTGCTGATTTTCATAGCTGTAAAAGGACTTTCAGAACACGTCAGCAGAGGCCTGGGGAAGGAGGGTGTGCTCGACAGAAATTTGCATACATGATCAAGAGTGGAGTGCAGGTGTTTAGAGAAATGAGACGCACTACAGTTTGAGACTGGGAATATTTATGTGTTTTTGGCAGCAGAAATCTGTGAAATTTGTCAATCTAGGGGAAAGCCGATTTTGTAGGTGAAAAGAGGTGTTCTGCTCATAAGTAAAAAAGGACTCCTAGGATAGACGCCCATGGGGCATCATTTGTCAACCCTGGCGTTAAGCAAAGATGCACAAAAGAGAGCTGAGACAGTTTCAGGGCTCAGGACCCCTGCTGGTAGGGTACAGAGTGGATGTGGGGGCCAGGTCAGAAGGCCCCAGTCATCCCCCTCAAAGGGCTGACGGTAAAGCTGTTCTCAGGCTTGAGGATGCGTAACAGTGGCAGATAGCAGAACTGAGAACCTGTGGAATGCTACAGAAGAGATGCAGGCCTTGCACGCGTGGCCTCCTGTGAAGGCAAAGTGGGCCTCTCTGGCACCTTCCCAGCCTGGACACAATGCTAACATAAGACCTGGCTTCACAGCTGCACACAAGCCCAGCTCCACTGTGCACAGGCCTACGGTCCACACAGCCCTGGGCTCCTTCTCTACCTCCACCCTGCCTCCACCTGGCCCACTTCCCCAGCTCTGGAAAAGGTGCTGTCTTTGTAGCCAGGTTAACTCTCTCCCCAGACAAGGGCGTCCTGGCCATCCTAGAGCAGAAGCTGAAAGAAATTGATGAGGAATGCAGGATCAAGGAGAGCAGGCGTGTGGACCTTGAGCTCAACATCATGGAGGTGAAGGACAACCTGAAGAAGGCAGAGGCTGGACCCGTGACACTGGGCACCACAGTGGACACTACGCACCTGGACAATATGAGCCCCCGTGTGAGTGGTGAGAGCTGCAGCTCTTCTAGGGGGCTGTTGGCAGGGCATTCTGGACATGATTTGGGGGAAGGGAGGGGTCATGTCACCCTTCCCTTGATCTAACCTCGCTGTTTCTCTGTAACCACAGCCTAAAGCTGCCACCACCTCCACCTCTACCCTAGATAGCACCCCGGTCAACTCTGCCACTGCACTCAAAAACAGGCCTCTTTCAGTCATGGTCACAGGCAAAGGCACTGTTCTCCAGAAAGCCAAGGTAAGTAGTCAGCCGCCCCCCTCTCAAGGGCCAGCAGAACTGCTCAGATGGGGCCCCAGTTCTGATGCTGATGGCACTGCCGTTTGTCCCTGTCCTGCCTACTCTCTGGAGATAGCAGGGGTACACACCCGTGGCAAACTGTTAAATCCGTTTGCACATCTTAACCACAATTGCCTGAGCATCATGGTAGACATCACTAAATGCAGAGAGGAACACACAAGATTTCTAACAGTCTAGCCATCTTTATTCCTGTTTCTGTGCTTAAAATATTTCTATACATATAAGCTTACTACAGAGAATAACTATCTTTTTTGGGGGTTGGGGGTGCTGGTATTTTTATGGTGTTCTAGGAATGGGAGAAGAAAGGAGCCAGTTAGGAAACAAGTGTCATCTGGAGACCGTGTCAATGTGGACGTTGGTGACAATCCTGCTTCCATAAAGTCTTCTTTAAAACAGCAGCTCTGAGAGGGTGAGTCTGTTTAGAAGAACAAGGCAAGGACTAGGGTATTCTGAATGGAGAGCTTTGGCTTTGAGCAGGCTCGGTTCCTTTTCCAAGCCAGAGGGAACACTACAACCACCACACAAAAGGCTTCTTGGGATATTCTGTTTCTTTTTTGAAGTTTTCATCAGTGGTTTATCAAGATTTTCAAACAGTGAAGTAAAAAGCTTCTGATGTTCAGACTTTGATGAAAGACAGCATCAGGGCTCCGGGGCTTTGATGATGGAGAAGAACTGAGCCCCTGTGCTCTCTTGTCCAACACCTAGTAGTATTGGGGATTAAACCATCCTTGCCTTCAAGTTTCTTTTCTCCAGTATGTATTAGTGATGATTTTAAACAACAATGGCAATACCTGTGTAAAACCACCTGCAACCTGAGTTTGTTGAAACAATACCAGGAGAAATATCTGGGACCAAGCAAGACACTGATCCAAATAAGGTTTTTTCTTCCTAATAAGGCAGATCTCAATGGACTGTCTTTAAATAAAATGCAAAGTGATGCTGTATTATGTAGACAGAAACTATTTAAAATCATGGCAAAACAGTGAAAAGTATTTGAGATTTAACTGGCTTTTATATAACTATAGAAAAAAAAAACCAAAAAACTTGTGTTTACAAATGTAGTCCTGGCCATTTTTAAGGGAAGAGTTATTTAATACAATGTGCCCAAAGCTCTTGTCTTGAAGTTCTAATTTCTAGTCCTCTTGCAACAAAAAAGTGAATTTCGGTGAAGGTGGCTGCCCTTTTTTCTGACAGTGCTATTCAGATGTTGTCCTGTCTTCTTATGATGGCATTCTTTGTTAACGCAGGTTGAAACATTTCAGGGGGTTCTGAATCAGAGTTCTCAAACCATGGTTCCAAGAGCTAAAAGTCTTTTTCATCCTTATTATCTTTCTAATCCTAGGGCATTTATTTCCTATGTCATAAACACTTGGTGATCTTTACCAAGTGGTTTGATTGTTTTTTTTTTAATAAAATGTTATTTGTATTTGGGGTTTCCCTTGTATTTCATGGAGTGACTTGGGGAAGGGTCTATCAAACTTTATTTACAGGGCCTGGGGAGGTGGCTCAGTAGAAAAGGTACTTCCCTGGTGAGCACAAGGGCCTGAGTTGAATCCCCAGTTCCACCAAAAAAAAAAAAAAAAAAGCAAAATTTTATTTACATACTAAACTTCAAAATACACTAGGTGGGATTTTAGCAAGAGAAGTTAAGCCTCCTTAAACCAAGTAACCTAGGTACCTCTGGGAAAGGATTTTAATATAATGCATAGCAATATACCAAAGTGGTACCCTGGTTCATGAGTGTACTTGTTTGCAAACTGCATTGGATGACAAATACAACTTTGGCCATCCTTCTCAGAGTTTGCGGAACAGATTTGTGACACAAGGCACCACTATATAGAGGAACCATCTGTAGAAACTGAATATATATGTGCATAATTAAAAATCCATACTTCTAGAAGTTTTGGGAAATATAAACATTCCAGTACTTAGAAGGCTGCTTAAGTTGGAATTAAGGATGTTCAGACTGTATTTTAAGAAGTGACAAAACCAAATCAGACGCACTAAAAAGTCTAATGCAATTAAAAAGACACCCTGAGGGTATATAAAATATCAAAATTGAAAAGAACCCTTTTATTGGGGTGCAGGGGTTACTGGGAGTGGAGCCCAGACCTCAAACATGCCCTTACTCTGCTGGCTAAGATATACCGCCATCACTCTGGCAAGAATTTTAAATTATAAGAAAATACTAAAAACTATGTCTTTTCTATGGCAATGTTTATTTAGCATTGCTCTGATACCAAAAGGTCTACATATACTGCAAAAGCAAAACCAAATCTCATTTTTAGACACAGACAAAAAAATCTTGTTGGCAAATGAAATTCAGTAAGGCTTAAAAAAAATGATATTTCCTGACCAAATAGGGTTTATCCACAGAGTTTTAAAAAATGGTTCAGAGAAGAAAATATGTAAATATGAATTTCATCACATTAAGTGATTAAATGTGAAAACAACTTATCCTGAACACTTATTAACAGTCATCTGAAGGCAGGAATAGGCATTCTTCACCTGATCAAGTGACCGGGACAAAGCCCACAAGAATTATTATAATGTTGAAAAGTCCCGTTATTCCAGAATCAGATCTGGATCTGTGTATTGCCAGTAGTTTCCAGAACAGTATTACAGAGGCCCCAGACAAAGTGAAAGGACAAGAGTAGAGCTTGGATTCAAAGAAGAACCAGCACTGCTTGCGAATGCGTTTCCCCAGGGCAAGAAACTCACATTATGGCTATAGGCATCAGGATCAGTGAGAGAAACCACACAGAGATTTAGGAACTGTCCGCCATTTGTTTTTGCATGAAAACCTACCATTTAATAAGAGCTAAAAATTACACTATGCCATTTTAAATAAGAGAAAAAGGCTTGGCTGGTTAAGCCAGAAAACAGAAATTGTCTCTGTCACTGTTGGGCCTTTGATCCAGTTCATTGTCCTATTACTAGGAAAAATAGAAAAAGGTGTCAAGGACCAGAACCCCTGCTCCTAATAAAGTCCCTTTCATATGTAATTCAAATGAGGCATCCAGATAGTGCTTCACATAACAAAGAGCCTACACGATAAACAACAGATGGGGCTGCCTGTGATTACAGGCACTGAATTCCCCACAGCATCCCCTAGATGGGCTGGTGGACCTGTTTATGACATTACAAAGGGCAGTGGGCATCACACACAACTGCTACGCCTCGGTGCTTGGGGCTCCACGCTGAGTCGGATGACACCTGGGGATCTCTCTTCGACTACATTTTTTTTTAATTTTATTTATTTATTTATTTATTTATTTAGTGTGTGTGTGTGTGTGTGTGTGGCCAGCTCAGCCCACCAGGGGGCAGGGCTGGCTGGCATGTGGTGCTGGGGGATCGAACCATGGTCCCTGTGCTTTGATTGGCTTAGTTTGTTCTAAGTAGGTGCTTTAGACCACTGAGCCATCTCACCAGCCCCTCGACTACATTTCTAGCATCAGAAATCCCGAATGTCTTAAAACTAAGTGCCATTTAAGTCAAGACAGCCTTGAACCTCTGCATATAAAAACAACAAAATAAAATATTTGTATCAAAAAGACAACATGATGAAAGTCTCTAGATTTATGTCAGAACATTCCAGCGGCTTCTACTGAAAAACTAACTTTAAACAGTGTAACCAAGAGCAACCAACTAACATAGTACCTCCTTCTTACCCTTACACTATACGGGTGAGTACTTAGCTGTCCAGAAAATACTTCACACAATCTTGCTTGCCGCATATGTATAAATACTTCTGCTAAATAACCAACATCTAAAACTTGGCATAAAAAGCAAAGCAAACCAAAAGAATTAGCATATCATTTGTGCTTAAAAAGACAGAACTTACAATTGTCTTTACCCTTTACTTGTTGGCTTTAAGGATTCTACTCCTCCTTGCCCCGGCTAAAAGCTGAAAAAAATTTTCAATAAGAACCTAAGATCAGCGGCTCCCAAGAGCTGGTGCCAGCTCTACACCAGTCACGGTGGCCCCTCCAGCCGGAGCGACCTATGTGCTCAGCCCTCCCCCAGCACCAACCAAACGGGTCAAGTGCCTAGATGCACTGAGACCTTTTCAGGTCTGTCACACAGATCCAGTCACTGGAAGTCACAAAGGCCATGTAAGTCCCTTTCCAGATTAAAGCAGATGCACACTGGAGATCTTTCGAGACACGACACAGTCCACACTTCTCCGTGGCCCAGATGATGGCCTCATAAATGCTTTGTGTTGGAGCTTTCTGTCCCAATAAAATTTTGTCTGCCAAAAGGGAGCCCAACACAAGCCATCAGAATTCTCCATTATTCCTTGTTTATCCTCAGGGGCAAGTGGCATCCTGGACAAGGTACACTTGGGTACAGAAAGTGTTTACTCACACAGCAAGAAGCATTTTCAGCATCTCTCAGTAGGTGACACCAGCTGCTCCTGCTGTCTCAAGAACCATGTGCTGCCGCCTGTGCCCAGAGGAGGCTGGCAGGAAGGAGGGCCGTGCACAGAGCAGGCCGCAGACACACAAGGGCCCAGCAGACGCACTCTGCCCAAGGCAGTGCCCTTTCAGCTCCCAGCATGCCCAGGCCTCTGCAGTTGCTGGGAGCCACAGGGGTGCAGCCCTCAGGCAGGATCCTGACGAGACCCACGTGCCGTGGGAGTGTCTCCTCTCAAGACTCCTGCAAAAGGATAAAAACACTGAGGATGTGAGTATCCGAATCTCTCCTCAACATGCCAGTACCCCTGTGGGCCTCTTCCTCCCCCTCTCCCCAAGCAAAAGACACCAGGTCCCAGATCCCATCTGACTGCCCTTCATACTGTGCCCGGACCCCCAGGAGACAACAGTGCTGGGGCCAAAGCCCCAGCTGCAGCTGCCTCCTGATTTCTGGCTGATCTAAGGTGCAGCTGGGGAACAGGAGCCACCATTGGGCCCCTCGTGCTGCCCAGGACCCATCCCAAGGTCCTTGAGGCTCACCCTTCTCTCGCAGCAGCTACTTCTCGCCTAGACTTCTAGCGCCTCCTACCTGTCCTCTTCCTCAGCTGACGGCTGTCCTTCCAATGTCATTAGGCAAACAGACTCAAGGACCAGCAGGTCCCACCACTCAGGGCATCCCCCATGCACCCACCTCCTCTCCCTCATTCAGACTCTGTGCTCCTAGCCAGAGGCTCCCTCCTAGCTGTGTTTCCCAGCTTGCTTGCTTCTCTTACACCACAGTTGTACCTATCTGCTCTGTTCCCACCCTAGAATAGAGGCTCCGTGAGGGCTTGTTGGTTGCTATATTCCCAGCACCTAGAACAAAGTCCAGGATGTTCGTGATCCTCAACATTCGCTGGGTACATGAATAAATGACTGACTGCTGACTGCAGAGCCTTCCTTCCACTGAGTTTATGACACCTGGCAGGACTTAAGAGTCCCACCCTGAGCTTACACAGGTAGAGCGGGAGCCACTCACGGTTCTCGCAGTGGGGCCCCTCCCAGCCGCTGCGGCACTCGCAGCGGTAGCTCCCACGCCGCAGGACACAGGTGCCCTCGTTCATGCATGGGCTGGGTTTGCAGAGGTTCACTGGCTGCTTGGCTGCTGTGGTGGAGAAAATATCCATGTCTCAGGCTCAGCCTGGGTCAGACACAGAATCCCATACTCGAAATCCAGTTGAAATAGATGCAAGGCTACTGGAGCAGTGTCCCACCCTACTGTCTCCTTTGACCCTAAAGCAACAGCCTGGCACACAGCTGGTGCTTCGCTCTACTTGGCTCAAGATGATGAAACTCCACCCAGAATTGCTACATGAAATGGAGACTCCACGTGTGGTGCACATGGTAGTGTTCACTGCTAGCATTACAGTCATATGCTTTTTAAAAGCATTTGAAAAGAAAGTGACTGATAACGTGTAGCCGTGGTGTCAGGCTTCCCTATTGGCTCCTAGCTCCGTCATTCATTCTTTAGGTCAGTATTAATCAGCTTTTGGGGAATATGAGTTTCCTAAAAATGGCATCTGTTTAAATAGAATGCATAAATCTCAAGCTTGAAAAGAGGTATCTGGGGGAAATTCTCTAGCCCTTTAATGGCGATGGGTAGATCTACCATCAAGGGAGTACAGTGTTTAGTCCCTAAGGTGGTACATGAAAGTGGGCACTCAGGAACTGCTTTACGTTAAGGCTACTTAGGAAGCCTCTTGCACAGGTCCTGTCGTGGATGCAGCCCCGAAGGCTGTGACGTGTCTCACCTCCACATATCCATTTGATGATCATGTCCTGGTGGAACGGCAGGTTGGAGTAAGTGGCTACATGGATCAGGGAGTCCCGCGGACCGGCGAGCCTCCTCAGTGCATCACTCAGAACCGGGCCCACGCCCACGACCAAGACGGAGACGCCATTGCTTCTCAGCTTCTGGGCAGGAACAACGGCATCCTCTGCCCCCCTCCCACCGGTGACCATCACCACTGCCTTAGGGACCCCAGGCCGGGCGCCCTTCTGGACCGTCATCACCTTGTCATAGATGTGCAGTAAGGCCGTGCCAGCTGAGCCCGTGCCCCCCAGGAAGGGCGCCTGGCTCATGGCGCGCAGCACGGCTGTGCGGGTGAGATGGGCGTCCAGCCCGAAAGCTGTCTGTACCCGGCGGCCATACACCACCAGGCCCACCTGCATCACGTCGGGGTTCACATCAAACTGGAGGGTACAGCTCCTCACAAAGCTCTGCATCTGAGCAAAGTTCCCAGGCCCCACTGCAGCAGAGGCGTCCAACAGGAAAACCAGGTCCATTGATTGTGCTGGGCAGCCTGCAGGGGCGAACAGAGTGGAGCCCTCACCTGACCTGGCACTGCTCCTGGCTAAAAGCAGCACAAGGCAGTCTGTTGTCTACACAGGTAGTGCCCACCCTCCTCCTGTGGCCACCACACACCCTTATCCTAGAAGATGCGCAGAAACATAAGCACTGTGTTTCCCACCCTTGTGGCAGCTGGGTGTGGACATGTGTCAAAAGTCCACATGAAGGGGCCGGGAAGATAGCTCAGTGGAATAAGAGATTGCCTGGCAAGTGCAAGAGCCTGAGTTTAATCCCTGGTTCTGAAAAAAAAAAAAAAAAAACAAAAAACCACGTGATAGGAGTATGATCACAAGTAACTAATTTCCAAGTTTGAAATTGTGAAAAATCCAACTTGCGCAAGGAGCTGCTTGCCTACCGCTCACCACCTGCCCTCTTCTGGCAGCTGAGAGATGGGGCTCTTGGCCCTCAAGGTGGAAGCGACAGGATGGCCAAGCCACCCTGCTAATGCACCTCCCTGACCTCTGAGCCACACACGAGAGGAAGAAGACTATCATGCAAGCCACTGGGTTAGGGTACTGTGACACTTTAACTTGTACCTCACCCAGCCCATTATGATATACCTACCATGTGCCACCTGCTACACCTAGGGTGCTCATTTAAGGAGCTGCCAGGGACTGAACCCAGGGCTTCAGCTTGCTAGGCAAGCGTTCTACTGCTGGGCCAAATCCTCAGCCCCTAGGATACTAATTATACTACATGGAACAAATGGGCCCGTGCCTGTGCTCCTGGGCTGACAGTCTAAGGGGCACAGACAGGAGATGAACATACAATTACACGTGGAGTATGGAAAGAAGAGACAAAAGTAGGGGACCAGGAGGGAGATCAGCAGGGGCAACATGATTTGACAGAGAGGGGACAGTTCACAAGGAAGGATCCTAGTTAGAACTGCAGGACAAGAAGGTATGCGGGCTTCCAGGGCAGGGCCCCCCAAGCAGAGAGAAGGCCTCTCCCATGGGCACCCAATGAGTAGAGGGGAGCTGGGTTTCTTCCACTTGCAGTGAGAGCCACCAGGGAGGTCTGAATATAGAGCCAGAGTCTGGCAACCTGACTGCTTGGGTCTTACAAACTACCTCAGCTTAAGGAAAGTTGAGAAGCTGTTACAAGTACCAGGAGACTAAGAGAGGTCACCAAGTATCTTGAAGGTTCCTGGTCTGTATTCTGAAGCATTAGGTAAAAAGGAAATCAGACATAAGGATAGACTACAATAAGTAATAATGTAACAATATCTGTTCAACAAATCTGTAACAAATGCACTTACTAACAGAGTTAACAAGAGAACCCTGGGTGTGAGGTCCTACAGGAGCCCTCTACAACCGTTACATACCGTTACATTTCGCCAATAAATCTACAACTATTCTTTGAAATAAAACCCCTCTGGCTGTAGGCTGGAGTGGCAGGGTAGCAGTGGGCGGCAAGCCCTGTCCTCCCTTTGCAGGAGCACCTCTTGGCTGGGGAGAGTGACATGGGCTGAGAGGACCCGTCACATGGGCAGCTTACATGGCCCAGCTCCCGAGGGAGCCGCGCGGTGCCCGCCCAGCACGGACATTCCAGCCACCCACCACTAGCCGTGGTCAGTCCCCTTTCCCCACAGCACCGTGCAATAGCGGCTCAGGAAACAGAACAATGTCACAGTGCACCCTGGGGAGGTGGGACAGAACAATTCACAAAATGCTCGCTGAAGCCACTTGTGTTCACGTCTGTGCATCTAGGAATGCATGTCCTCTTGTGGGATGCCACCGAAGAGCCTGGAAAACTGCTGTTCTAAATCAGGCCTGGTAGATTCAGAGCTCCTCATTAACACTAATATTATCAAAAATAACAACACTGCACCTACGGTTTGCAGATGACTACCCTGTACAGTGTGCCCATCTTATCCAATCCTTACCAAAAAGACTCTCCAAAGATGGAATTGGCCTCTTTTCCTTGACGAGTAGACCCGAGAAGCCCACGCCTAGGCTGAGGGGATACTTGGCAGGTACCGGGAACCTACCTGACCGTGGCCAGACGCACAGCTTCCCCTGCAGCTCGGGGATTTTGTTGAGCAGGTCCTGGGGTTCTGCGTAGATTACCACATGCCCCGGGCTGCCGGTGATCTCCTCAAGTTCCACCTGCACATCCTCGCTGCCCACGCCAAGCAGCAGGAGATCGCGGCCTCTTACGTGACGCGCTGGGCCTGCCACCTCATCCTGAGAGTATGACTCGGTGAGCAGGACTACCACCCTTTGTGGCCGGTCGTGGCTGGTCCTGGTGGCAGTCCGAAAGCCATGCTCTGCCACCCAATGCAAGGCTTTCCCCGTGAGGGTGGGGCCGCCGCTGAATACAATGCCATCGAGGCTCCTGACCAGGTCTGGTAAGTCCTGGTACTTGCCGATAGGAACAGCCATGGCCAGCTCCCTGCTGTAGCTGGCCACTCCCACACGGGCCTGAGAGTCCTCGCTCAGGACAGCCTGTACAAAGCGCTTCACAAAGGCCTTGGCCCGCAGGAAGCCCTCCAGGGCAGTGCTGGCAGAGCTGTCCAGCAGGAAGAGGATGTCGATTCTACACTCCAGGCTCAGCGTCTGGGCTGCCGGGACCACAGAGATACCCAGTTGCTCTGTGGCCAGGGCAGCATGCACACCAGCCCCACCTGAGCTGCCCACACCCCACTCAGGGCCTGCCCTGAGGAGGGAGATGGACACACAGACCCCACCCTGGCCCTGGCCCAAGTGACCAGTGTTGGCACAGAGCTACAAGCAGATGTGGGGCCCACCCTCCTGGCTCCAGCCTGGGGTCTCTGTCCAACACTTCTTAAAGAGTGTAACTGCTTTCCATAACTGGTAGTCTTTCATAGCCTAGGAAATCTGTGTGCACCCTGAGGTCATGAAGATGCCCTCCTCTACTTTCATCCCTGCTTGGCCTTTTACATCTGGATTGCTAATCCACCTGGGATTGATTTGGGGGTAGGTTTGGGGCACAGGGTCAAGATTTATCTTTTCTATGTGGATCTCCAATGAACCCAACACCACACATTTAAAAGTCATTATTTAATATTCCCTTACTATATGTCAAGCCCTGTATGAAGCACATTGTTAAATAAAATTCTTAGTCACTCTATGCGCTAACATTTATATGATCTTTCTTTCATATCTTGAAAGTCAAAGAGGGTAGAGGCTCCCATTTACTCTTCTGTCATAGAAAAAGAAAGGATTCTGGCCAGAACCAGGCTGGCTCCAGCCTTCAACTGGGTTTAGTAAGGGCAGTGGCCACTCCACAGGGGTTAAGCCAGGAGCCACTGTCCTGCCAAAACTCTGCCACCTGGATTACTTTCCCATGGAGCATATAGACACCACACCATCCTAGGCTTCAGCTCAATGGAGGGCTGGGAAAGTAAGGGCTCTAAACTCCAGGGCTGGTTTCTATACAGTAGCGAGGCGGGTGGCAAGTGTGAAGGGGCGTCTGGGCCCTCCCTCCTCCCTGCCCCACATATACATACCGCAGTTGGTGTCCCCTCTGAAGGCCAGTGGGCAGAGGCAGTGGTACCTGTCCAAGCCTTCTGGAATGCACGTGCCTCCATTCTGGCAGGGCTGGGAGTCACAAGGACCTAGCAGAGAGATGCCCATTATGAGCCACGCACACTGGCACAGGGTGCAGAGGGCCAGCTGGGGGAGTGAGTCCTGCAGGGCCCAGCCCTCTTCTTCCCTTCATCTACTAGGAACCCAGCTATAGCTCATGTGGCAGAGAGGGGCAAGGCCAGCCAGTACCCAGAGGAGTGTCTGGGCATAGTTGGCACAGGACACACCACAGTGGGCTCAGTGAGGTTCTGTGTAAATTATACAGCCAGGACTTCCCTGGCTCTGACAACAGGCATATAGACCACAATAGCCTGTAGCTGCTGAGGCAGCCTGGGGGAGCTCAGGGCCATCATGATTACCTCTGCTGCACCTGAGCTTGCCAAGGTGACACTCTCAGAGCATCAAGGTATGAGTGGGTGTTGCTACGACTCGGACAATGCCAGGGGGCTGTTGGCGCCCCTTCTTTTTCAACGCTCCCACACTTGATCTTAATGGCCTCTGAGGCTAAGCCAGCAGAACAGTGGGCCTTCATGTCCTGCAGCCAGAAAATGTGGTGATAAATATGGCCACCCGCTCTTCGTGGACACCTCCACCCAAGCGGACACCTCCATCCACCTCTCCGTGCTTCTGTGCCCTCATCAGAGGCCTACAGCTTGCAGGTGTTCACAGGGGTGCTGTGTGCACCAAATCAATTAGTCCACAGAGATTCTTAGCATCAGGCAAGCGCTGGGAAAAAGTAACACTACGTTTGCATTTGGAGCTGAATGCAAATTATGAGTAATGATGCCTCCACAAAGCTGAGGCGTTACACAGGAAACTACTGCCCTTATCAAAATCAAATCCATTCTGTGGGGCCTGATGGATGATAACCTGTGGCCACTTATCTGAGTGCCTTATCAACTTTCTTATTCATTGGAAATGAAGGTAAAACTCCATGAGTTAAAGAGAAGAAACAGGATCTTCGTGTGTTCCTGTATTCAAAAGGTTTGATAAACAGCTGAATGTGGTCCTGATTGGGATTGGTAACTTCTGTCCTTTCACACAGCATGCAGGCCACAGTGAGTTTTTGTCTTGCTGGAAGCTCTAAAACATTTGCCACACTACTCTGAGTCCTCAAATTCTAACTTCTGAGCAGCAGTAGCCCCACCAGAAGTTTCCCCGAAGTCTCCAGTGATGGAATTGTTAACACATCAGCAGGACGTGTCACGGGGAGCTCCTGACCCCAGAAGGAACACTCTTGTGCCTGTGTGTAGATGCTGGCTCTGCTTTCTGAGGGACTCCTACATCGTCAGGAGCAGCAGCGAGCCCACCAAAGATAGACCAACACATCTGGGAGCTGTGTCAGCTAACACTGTCAGCAACGTCAGCAACAGGGTGCTCTGGAGTCCTAGGCAAGGACCAGTGAGGACAACACAGAAACTGTGCTCAATGATACCTAACCTCTCGTGTGTTTGGAATGTTACAGCTGGTAAAGCACATTCAGGAGCATAATATATTGAAACTTACTGGAAGTTTCTTCTTCTATGAGAGCCCCTATTTTATGAAGGTGGAAATGGGGACTTGGTGCAGGGCAAACATTGATTCTTCACTTTACCACTCATATATCTTGCCCTGAGTTTGGCACTGGCTGTGCAAAGCTGGGACTTGTACACACCCTTCTCTGCCTCTCACCAACATGCAAGCAGTGTTGGGTGGAGAAGTCCCAAAGCTGGCATTCCATTCTCAGATTAAAACTGCTCGAGTGGGTGAAGAAGAGTACGGCACAAGTGTGCTCTGCCCTGGAGCCTGTCCCAACACCACCCTCAGCCCTAGGAATGTCAATGTGCGTTTATAAACAGCCCTGAGGCCAGGTCCCAGAGAGAGCTGGTGAAGCCACAAGGAGACAGGCCTTACCTGGACAAGTGGTCCTGTAGCAGGTGGCAGGGTGGCTTAGAAATACTCTCTTCCAGCTACAATCCAGAGAAAAAGAGTGGCAGAGAAAAAAAATGACATTAAATGCTGATGGAAAGTTCCAGTGGACACTCATAAAAGACTCCCTTGTTTTCTTTCTTGATTCGACCCTAAATTTCATCTACAGAGTAAAAGGCATTTCCCACTACAAAGAGGTTATGTGTGTGCATATGTATATGTATGTACATGTGTATTTTTAATCTCCACCTACGGGAGCAGCCTGTTATTACAACTTTGAGGTCCACAAGGGGCCTCTGGGTTCTGACTGAGTGACCCAGGCAGGACACACTCCTGCTGTCTGCACCTCCCTCTTTTATACAGTAACACTCTCTGTGGGCTTTAACTGCACTCCTTGGAGCTTCAGTGGCCAGGAAAGGGGCTGAGGGAAGGGGACAAAGAGGCCGAGGCGCCAGGCCCCTGCAGCCATGCAGCCCAGCCCCCTGCTGTGTGTTCTGCCTAAGTCTCCTGGTGAGGCCCTGGATCTCAGGAGGATCTATAAACCACGGGATCTGATGAGTGCTCAGGCTTTCTGCAGTTACACAACAGTCACAGAAATTTCCAGCGTGGCTTCCGCGCGCTAGGTATCCCTGCTGTCCTCTGGCAGCTCCAGCTACCCGAGGAAACTGTGATCCTGTGGTGGGGAAGTTCAGATGACTGATCAAGGCTGCTCCAAGTCATGATTACTGGGCACAGGGCTGGGCTCCAAACACCACCCCGTGAGCTCTGCAACTGCCACAGGCTCCCGAGCCACATCTAGTGCCGAGCGATGCTGCTCTCCTTGTGGCCAGGGAGCACTTGGCCCGCCCCCTGCCCCAGGTCAGGCCGTCTGTTCACCCCAGCTGTGGACAAACCTATAGAAGGGACAGCGTGTGGCCAGCACGGTGTCAGCCTGCGGGGCTCCTCTCCAGCACGGGGCGGCGCCAGCCAGTTCCCGAATGGTCTCCAGTGTCTTGTGCTCACAGGGGTGAGCCTCGACCCTGCAGTCTGCCCACAGCACACAGCAGCAAAGAGCACACAGTCAGACAGCATGAAGCCTTCGCCCCTGGGGTTCTGCTCTACCCCCAGCCACTTTTGCCCTGTCTCCGGGTAAGAGCACACAGACCAGGGTCCAGTCTCTGGGCCTGGGCTCTAGGCAGCCCTACCCATGGCCGTAATAGAGTGTGCACTCTCGCACCTTAGCAAGGTCACTGTGGCACTGGAGGGAGCCTAACAAGGACATCTAGAAAGCAGCAATCTGGTCCCCCACCTGAAGCCCCTGTGCTAACCAAGGCAGGGGCAGAGGGCTTGGCTCTTCCTCCCAAGTAGGAGTGGGGCCCCATCAGGCCTGGACCCTAAGCCTTAGGCCTCTCCCCAGAAACGAGCTCAGGGTACCAGGTGGGAAACCCTCAGTGGCCCACAGACACAGCCTAGGGCGCCCAGGACAGAGCTGGCCATTGCCATCATGTCCCTCCTACTTGGAAGGCTCAGGCCTCAGGAGGCTGCCCACCCTCCCCCAGCCCCACCTCCTCTGGGGCACGCAGTCCTACCTGAAGCAGCGGTGCTACAGAGGGCAGAGCTGCTGAGGGTGCTGAGGAGGCCGTTGGTGGCGTCCTCCACGTGCTCAGCCGACAGCACATGCTGCTCCGCGGGCTCGCTGGCCAGGGCGTGCAGCTCCTCCCACCTGTGCAGAGAAGTTCCAGCAGCTGGGGTGCCACCCCTCCCCGTTCCTGCCCACCAGAGAGCAGGGTCTAGCACCCTCTGGGACCTCAGCAGCACCCCACTGAACCAGACATCACGTGGGAGCATCCCTGAGCCACAGAGCGTCCTCACGGAAGCCAGCTGAAGGCCACTGTGTGCATGTGCTCGGATTCCTGCACATCCTCAGAGGACAGCCGCATCCTTAGGACCACGGCCTCTTACTGGAGACACAGGCCTTTCAGATTCAGTCATCTGCTTTTGTAAATCATGAGTTTTATATCAGCACATGGAAGAAAGCAGTTTGAAGTAATAGCACGGGAAGAGAAGACCAGGACAGCTAGTGACAGACAAAAACACTTAAGTGTTATAGACACTGGACACGTAAACCCCAAGGCCAGATGGTGAGGCTGTCCAGGGGAGCAGCCAGCATGCTTTGATGGTCAGAGAACTGTTCACTGTGCTCTGAATAAAGAGGGTAGGGGGTCAGGATGACGACACTAGGACATACAGAAAGATTAAACGGTTTTGAGAAACTTCTTTGTAAGAAGACAGGGCAGTCAGTAATGTGCAGGTAAGAATCCTGCCATTAAAAATCCTTCAAAATACCTGGATGTGGTGACACATGCCTGTAGTTCGAGCCCTGCCTGGGCAATTTAGTGACTTGGTGAGACCCTGTCTCAAAATAAAAAAAAGGGGCTGGGGAAATAGCTCAGTACAGTGGTCCCAGGAAAAGGGTGATGTCACTGGTGTAGACCGCCACTGTCACCTGAATCTATATAAAGCAGACTTTTCTCCCATCACCCAGCTCAGCATATGGCACAAGCCAGGAGACTTTCAGGGGTGGCCTCCCATCAGTGTTCTGGGGAAGTGCCACCTGGCCTGGCCTTGCATCTCCTGGCCCAGGCTTCCTCAAAGGGAACTTGCAGGCTAGCCAGAGGAACCCTTGGCCAAGTAGGCAGGAGTAGCAAAGCGGGGGCGTGGGCAGGGGATCCTGTAGCAACAATGCGGCCCCTCTCCAGAGGCCTGACTCCCCCAGGCCAGGGCTATCTAAAGTCTGCTCAAAATCTGCCCAGCTGCCAACTGCTCACCACCCCATCAGAGCTCCGCGAGCTCAGACTCCAAGAGGAAGCATCAGAAACTCCGGTGCAACAGCCCGTCATTTCATGTCTGCAGAAAAAGAAGTGTCTGAGCTTATCTGGGTTTTTGATTCCACTTCTCTGCTAGCTCATCCATGGGGAGCTGCAGGTGGGATCCGCTGCTGCCCAGTCAGGGAAGCACTGCTCCAGCTGCCGGCTGGAGGGAGCAACACAGGAGGGAAATGTGACCTTGCTAAGGTGCACCACTGCGGGGCCGCTGGTGCCCTGGTTCACAAAACTGGGCAGCTGCCATCTTCAAGGTGCTCTTTGCAGACTCCGTGGGAGCAGGGTGGGCAGGGTGCACTGTGGGGCTGCTGGTGCCCTGGTTCACAAAACTGGGCAGCTGCCATCTTCAAGGTGCTCTTTGTAGACTCCGTGGGAGCAGGGTGGGCAGGGTGTACTTGCAAGGTCCACCCTCTTTGCTCCAGAGGTTGAGTTCCTTACATTTGAGAACACACAGAGCACCCAGCCAGTGTGAATGCCAACTAACTGGATTCTGATGGTAAGGACGGATCACCCCCAGGGCCCGGCGCAATCCCGGCTAGCCGCACCCTCCCAATCCCCTGAACTCTGCTGGCCACCTCGTTCCAGCCTGCAGCCCCTCAGCAGACTCCCCTCTGTGCTCTGCTGCTCAGGTAACCCCACAGGGCTCTCTCCCTTTGCCTCTCCTCTCTTCTATGCTCCTTACAGCACCTGCTCGGCTTCTTTACGAGATGTCCAGCCTGTACCTCACACTGAGCCTGAACTCAAAGCCCTCCAAAAGCTTCCCCTTATACTCACAACAAACTCCACATCTTCACCATGACCTCTGTCTCAGGCCCATCCAACTTATCCACCTTATTTCTCATGCATCCCGCTTGCTTGCTGGGTCCCAGACCTCCCTGCCTATTTTCTGTTCTTGTAACTAACCAAGCAAGCTATGCTGCAGGGCGTCAGCTGTCTTCCAGCTTGGCCTGCTCTTTTCCTCAGTATCTGGAAGGCTTGCTGTTCAATCACTTGCATTTTTGCTCAAAATTCAACTCTTCCAAGAAGCCTTGTCTAAAATAGCTACTCTCTCCACTCCTCATCAGCCTTTAATCTTCTACCCTACTTTATGTTTCTCCTTTTCTTCTTATCTGAACTTGTTTATTTACTCACTCACCTATCACCCAGTTCTTTTCCTAGGACAGAAACCCATGAAGGTAAGGACTTTGCTTTGTGGCCTCTGTAACCCAAGAACCTCGTCTGACATGAGGATGACAGCCCGTAGTAACCAAAAGGACAAGTCATTAAAACTAATTTTAAAAATTCTAGGGGCCAGCGAGATAGCTCAGCAGACTAAAGCACCTGCTTAAGGCAGATACAGGGACTGGGGTTTGATCCCCTATGTGCCATGCCAGCCCCACCCCTGGGGTGCTGAGACAACTGAGACTGGGTGTGGTGGTGGGCACCTGTAATCCCAGCGCTTGGGAAGCTGAAAACAGGAGGATCACTACAAGCCCAATCTGTGTAGTGAGACCCTGTAGACCCTCTACTAAATACATTTTTTAAAAAAATCTAAGTGTAGGTATGTGGCAGGAACACAGTCATTTCACTGAACACCAGCAACACTTAGAAATCCATGGGCTGAGTGTCCCATCCATTTTTAGGGTTCCGTTCCTCTCTTCCAGAAAGGTAGATTTGCCTAGCACCTGAATACACATAGCTGGAGAGGGAGCAGCCGGTCCCAGACCCTTGCTCTGCTAGCGCCAGGAGGACTTGGCAGTCAGAATTAGATTGCTTGAAACTAACTGGTCTTCTCTCTCCAGGGTGTGAAGGAGTGAGCTGGGCACTGCCACTGCCTGGTGCCAGCTCCTCAAGAGAACTGGCTGGGAGGAGGGCAGGCAGGCAGAGCGGCAGCAGGGATGCACAGTGGACAGCGTCTTAGTGGCACCAGAGCCATGTGGCTCCTGCCCATACCGAGGGACCCCTGACTTAGCAGAGTAAGTAAGAGTAATGGATTTCCATTTCTCCCCAAATAAATCTGAGCTGAAAGTTTCAGGTACTTTTCGTGCAGCGAGAAGACAAAACCAGGGATAACAGAAACTGTCAGACTTGTAAAACCTGAGACACCCAGCACACAGGCACCAAAGGCAGCAAAGGAAGGAAAAGACAGACCCAAGAAAGGACTGGGACAGTTTCCCCAACCTCACTCCCGTCACAGTCCCCAGGGTGACCATGTGAGGACTGACAGCACTGAAGTCCTTACCTGGGAAACCGAACGCCCACAGCGAACACGGTGACACCTTTCTTCCTCAGCTGGTTGGCCAGCAGCGCCACCTGCCCCTGGGATTTTCCATCCGTGACAATGATGAGTATCTGGGGCACAGAGCCATTTCTGCCTCCAGGAAGCCCTCTCTGGAGAAGGTATTTCAGAGCAAGGCCGGTCTCCGTGCGTCCTCCCCTGAGTGCGTCCAGAGGGGAAAAAGCAGCAAAGTCCATGAGTCAGGAGACGAACTCGCAAAGAGAGCCAGAAGCCAGTGCAATGGCTGACTCTGGCAGCAGCTCATGGCAACAAGTTTGTCCTCTAAACCACAATGATGGGTAGAGATGAACTCTTTCCTTGGACTTCAGTTTTGCCCTGAACACTTCTGTTGTGCCACATAACAATGTCATTCTTTGCACATGTGTTATTTTCTCCGTAAACCCAGCAGTGACTCCAGGCCGACAAGATGACTTTTTAACAGACAGCAGCCATCTCCCTATCCACATCTCTGCCCTTTCCCCTTCTCGGCTTAGCATCTTCTGGGGTTGGGAAGCAGAGAGCAGGGCTTAGGGAAACTGTGCTCAGAATCCGCAAGCATGATGGGGGGACATAGCTGGGACCACAGCTGGGTGCTGGAATGCAGAGCTGTCTGCCCGTCTCCCACCCAGGTGACAGTAGTCCAGCGCCAACAGGCTCTGAAGCTTGTCTAACCCACACAGCCCCACGGTGGGGACTGTCGCCTGGGCTCAGAACCTCAGGGCCCAATTTCCACTGAATTTTGAAGTAGGAGGTTCAAGAAGTTATTCCTCTCAGAAAAAAAAAGACTGCTGGCTTTGAGCCAGCTGAGAAGAAAACAGCAACTCCCTAAAGTGAATCTGACATTACTCAACTGTTACCCCCACTGTGGCCGGACTTTGCCACGGGAGGGTGGAAGCAGTGGTGTGGGGGGTAGCGGAATTGCTGTGGCGATTAACCGGAGGTGGACAAAACAGCTTCTGAAATGTTAACCACAGATCAGAGTGGGAACACACATTTATGCTTCAACTATAGTCTATCAATTTGGACAACACCTGTCTGTATTCAGCCTGCTTGTTGGAGCCTACAGTTAGTCATTCTTTTAAGTAAAAGCATCCAATGAACAAGAAGCCTCAGCACCCTATTTTGTATGTGTTGTTTTGTGTTAATTTGACACTAAACGGGTTTGTTTCTGCCATAAATCCCTCTGTCCGGCATCTCTCCTGGCTGGCTCTCTTCCCAGCAGCTATTCAGGCATCTGGGCTGCTTCCCTTCTGCAGTTCCACCTTCCTCTGCATTTTTCAGAGAGATGGGGGAAGAACATACTGATTGTACCTTGGGAGGATTTATAGACCAGACCTAGAATATTCTTCACTTTTATTGCTATGTTATGCAAGCTCTTAAAGGGCAATTCTCTTTGTGGACCTCCATTAAGTTAATAAATGTCAACAAGAACTGACAACTCCTAGAATTAAAGATGGTTAGCCTACAATATACAACAGCAATTCCATCCATTTAAAACCACTTATTTTTTTTCAATCCACTAGTATTTGTGGCTCACTAGAGGAAGGATAGGAAATGGAAACCAAAAAGTACAGCATGATCCCAGCCTTCAAAGAGCTCCCTGTCCCGATGAAGAAACAACAATGCAAAGATGAAAATCTCAACACTCTGAGGCAGGCGTCCCTTGTAGAGTGGAGCTGTAAGGGACAGGCTGCAGAGGGGAAAGTCCGGCTGAAGGGGTCTTGGTAAACCAGTAGGCTTGGGGAAGAGGCAGCTGTTCTGATAAGGGAAAGAAAGGTAAGCAAAGATGAAAACAAGCAACATGGACTACATCCAGGGCTACTGAATACAGTTCGGCTTTGGCAACGGGCTTATCACAGAGGAATAGTCCCAAATTAACGAGCACCTTTCACCTTGTGCTGGATCACGCTTTAGGCACCCAAGCCAACCAAGGAGGTTTCAGCTCTCATGAATCTACTACTCTTTCACCAAAGCTCTGCATCTGTGGGGTCTTCCTCCAGGGCTCCCAGGAGAGCAGACAATCCCTCAAGTGTAAGGGATCATACCAGCACTGAGCTTCACCATGTGTCAGAACTTCAGTACCTGTTCCTGAATATAATCCTTACAGCCAGCAGAAAAGGTGCCAATGGTATTCTCACTTCACTGCTCAGGGAATACTAGAAATAACTGCTAATATTCACTGTGGGCAGGCTCTGGGCAATAGGCATACATGTATGCACACACGCACACTTTGCATATGCTTATGTAATTCTTACCCCCACTCTCTGAGATGGGAGAATTCAGAACACGATCTTCCCTAAGGCCACGCTCTCCTGACTGGTGCAGGCAATAATCAACTCCTGGGCCCTCTACCCCCACAGCCCAAGTTCTTAGCTGTCAGGTCATTCTGGTAGTCAAGTCACTTGCCTCTGACCCCAGCTAGTGGAGGTCAAAGGCTACCAGGGCTGATTTTAAAGCCAATGCTTTCCTGTGCAAGTATCTTTGTCATTTTCCTTGTTGCTGAGGAGCAACACCTAAAACTCACAACTTGAAGGCTTATTTTGGCTCATGTTTCAGTCCACAGTCCTCTGGCTCCAAGGCAAGGATGGCATGGCAGAGACAGCTGAGGAAAGTGCTCATAGCAGGGTAGCAGGAAAGCAGACAGTAGAGGGAGGAGACAGGGAGGGAGAGAAACCCTTCCAGGCCACGCCCACTGTGACGCACTGCTTGGGGCCTGCCCGCCTCCTAGCAGCAAGTCGGCTATCAGCCCCATCATCCAATCACCTTTCTAAACTCCCGCCCATGATTATGAGGCATTAGAGGGACATGTAGCTATAAATCAAAACACCAAGCAACAGCAAATGATGGCCTATAAGCCAAATCCAGCCTGCACTGTTTTGTACATAAACTTTTACTGAAAAATAGCCACTTCTAATAATTAATATAATATCTATGCATAAACTACATGGCCTGCAAAAGATTAAAATTACTTACTCATTGGGCTTTACATGAAATCACTTGCCAGCCTTTGCTCTAGACTTCTCTGCATAAATGCTCACGGAACTCTCTTCTCCCCAGAAGCCAAAGTGCCCCAGCGAGGAGTCAAGAAGTATCCCCCCATCGTCCCCAGGCAGTGGCCTTGTCATTCCCCAGCCATCCCCGCCTCATGGCCCATCTGATCACTGCTGCTCTCTGTACAGACGCCAAGTTTCAGGACCAAAAGGAAAAGCCCTGGTCCTCTACAACCTTGTTCCCTTTCCCCACACAGGTCTTCCTTTACCCCTTCAGAGTTTCTGTGCTTCCTCCCCATTTACCACCTGCAGGAGAACTCTTAGGTTCAACCCAAAGATTCTTTTCCTACCAGGAAAAAGAACATACAAAATTCACTATGTACCTAAGGCACTAGTGTTAAGCTCTTAGCATAGATTTTCTGAGTAGGGCTAGGCCTCCCGCTTCATAGCCACCGCCTCGTGAACAGACAGAGGTTAAATTTCCAGGACATGGGGGCCCAAGCCCCACTGCATGAGCCTGGCACTGCCCCCCATTCACCTGACTCAGCACGCAGACACCTACGAGGCGTGTGCCTCGCCACCTCTGCAGCCTCTCCCATGGGAACACATCTGCAGGCTTCTGATCGAGCTCAGCCTCAGCTCCTAAAGGTTCTGACCACTGGCCAGTGCGAAGAAACGTGGCTACTTATTCCACAGAACACGTCTATCTCTGGGTCTGTTCTGAGCTCCAGGGCCAGCTCTAAACAGGGCAGTCTGAAGTCAACACACCAAGAGTTTTCCAATTTCATTTAAATGGGGCTAAACTAGACTGCAAGTTGGAGGTTCACAGGCGAGTTACTGTCTTGGGGGGTTATGTTTGGCATGCCCGGACTTTTTTTTTGGGGGGGGGGTAGGAAGACAGAAGCTATTACTTTATTACCTGTGTAAGCAAGTGGTTAAGAATAGGAGCTCCTAAGTAAGAAGGGCTCACATACTCCATAGAACATCTATGGAATCTTAGGCAAACTTGGAAAGTTGACTTCCCCTGAGTTCAGGCTTCTCCCAGGCTAGAGTGAAAAAAGGAATCGCATTGGTTAACGATGAAATGCTGCGCTGCACAGCTCCTAGGACAGTGATGGCAAACCTTGTGGAGCTTCTGATGATCAACAGCTGGCTGTACCATGCATGCCAGAGATTCATCACCAATACCCTAGGACCTTACCAGGCTGCCATCAGTGGTCATTACCTTCTGTACAGAGCTGCAGCCCACCATAGATGTTTAGCATTTAGGCTCCAATTCTAAAGTGTATTTGAATATTCCTCAGGAGATTTAATGTAGATTCACAGATTCTGTTCCCAGGAAACCAGACTGATAACCAGTGGTCAACCTGTAACACCCAGCTGAACTTAGCCAGTGTGGTGCTGGGCGTGGGAGGCCCATCTGAGACCTGTTGCTGGCAGCATAAAGGACAGAACCGGAGAAGAAAGGGCTACTGGAATCTTTTGGGTGCTATTAGAAGCTGTAGAGAGCTGTTGGTTTTCCTGGAGGAGCTCGTCATGCTGGCTTTCCTGACCAACATGGCTGTTCTTAGCATCAAAGGAGCCTGGGACCTTACTGTCCATGCAAATGGCTCCGGCTCACTTGGCAGAAGCTCTGGCCCCCACTTCGAGCATCCCTTCCTGGCTCCAAAGGGGAAGATGGTGCACAGCTCGGCCTACTGGAGAAGCTTGTTGTGTCAGTTTCCTGATGGGACACAGTTTTCGTCATCATCGGATAAGCTCAGGACCTCACTGTTGCTAAGGATGGCTGTGGTACTTTCGGGGGAGCTCCGGTTCTTAATTTGAGTGCTGCTTCCTGGCTCCAGTGCAGACCCCTTAGCCTGGTGGCACAGATCCTTCAACCCACTGGCACAGACTTTCCAGCTTTGACCACTAACCTTTGGGCCTTTCCAGCACACGTCTGTGAAACAGGCCTGTATGAGACACTGTCATGGGCTCTCGGCCTCCAGCTGTGGGAGGCACTGTTACGGGCTCTAGGTCTTCCACTGGACTCATGCAGGACATTACTGTGGGACCCAGGCCCCCAGCTGGATTCTTTGGTCTTTAGTGTGTGGACAGATTTTCTGTACTCTCTTTGTACATCATTCTTTGGGTAGCTATTATAAAATAATTCTATGTTCTAAGTGTCTG